GGAGACCGTAACGCCGGCTCGGCTCTCTTTAGCTGAGCTTTCATTTCTTTCGATGCCTCCGCCACATCGTTTTAATTCATTTCTAGGACGTACCGCTGATTGAGGTTGCAGCTTTGGCTCCCTTGTGAGAACCTGCTGCAATGCTCTTGTGAGTTTGTGCATTGTGTTTCCGGGGCAACCCTGCCGTCAGTCTTTTGGGATAGTCATGAATGAACCTAAGCCCAGTCACACGACAGGGTTTTTTCTTTATTTTCCTTCTTTTTTTTTCCCTATCGTTCTGTCTTTATACGAGGCGATTATTGAACTTTGGTTGCTACGTATGTTTAACCTCGGTTGCCCAATTATCTGTTCCACATCTTCATCCCACCCCCAGACTAGGATTCTTATTTCAAACCCATACCTCCACTTTCCTGTTGCAGAGCCCAACTACCGACAGCTGTGGTCATAACCAAAACTCCCATCTCCTTATCTCGAATCCCATATCCACCCAACCAAATTATAAGCCTTCTTTTCGTTTGAATCTGTGTCCACAAGCCAGGATTTAGCCACAACCCCTCAGCCACATTAACACCTTATTTGCCTCTTTTGTTTTAGTAATCTCAGTTTAGTTTCTGCTCAATTTAGCCTTGCTTTTGAAGATGCACACCTTGGCATACTGTAAGTGAGTATTATCTAGAGAGCCCAGACTTGCTGCACCTTAAAGGAGTAAAGTAGTCAAACACCTGCTTGGTATTTGCAGAGGCACTTGTTCTGGTAGCTCGGACAGAGCTACCAGACAGGCAGTTGAAATGGAGTTGTGCCCAGCTCTGCCTTAGGTAAATACATAAAACTCTATCACTAAGGGCTATTGATGGAATATATGTTTATGCAAGGCTCAAGCAGCCAGCTGAGTTCACCACAAGACTTTCAGCACCATAAAATTATTTCTGAATAGTCTCCAATTTTACACTGCTTTTTACAAGATGATCATGCAGTTTTTTAACCTTCCCATGTATGGAATAAAACTTTTCATGATTACTTTGCACGTAGAAAATAAGTTTGGTTCTTTTTTTCCATGAGAAACATGAAAAGAAGGATAGGGTGCTAGTTTGGTATTAATGCTCTCTTGGTAATTTTCTGCACTTGGTCTCTCTTTAACAGTGATGTAGTGTCTAAAGAATAACTTTCTCATCATTTTGCTCCCATTTGTTTGATGTTGTGGTGAAGCTATGTCTATGTTGATGTCATTATGATTTTGTTGCTTTTCCTTTAAAGACTGCCTCTCACTTCAGTAGAATTCTAGGATCTCATATTTGAAAGTTTACTACAGCTTTATCTTCACAGTGATACCAAACATCAAAGACGCTCTTGGGCATTTTCTTTCCTCAGAACTTCAGAGGCCACCCTTGTCTGAATTTGTTCCATGTTGTCCAGCATGGGTGGACTTCACGAGGCAGTAACCTTTTGTTAGTGACCAGACAAGAAGGGAGCAGGCAGTCACCTACTGAAGCCACAGGAACAGCAACGCTGTCTCAGGCCCCATCAGAACAGGGCCAGTCTGGTGCAGGCTGCCGGGGGGTCAGTAGGCTGCTTTTCTGGGGCCTTCTGTGCTGTGTGCAGCTGGTGGATTAGCACTTAAAGAGATTTGTGATAAACTTCACTTCTATGCAATGTGCGAATCTTGAGTTGATAGAAATGTACCATCATTTTTTACTACCACACACTCTGTATGTATGCACTTTCCATTGAACTTTGCTATTTTGGTATAACAGTATTTTTCTGTTTTCTGAAAGCTAAACTTTCATACCTAGATTGTGGAAATCCCTGAGGCTACCTCATTTTATGTCTTGCGTACATTCAACTTAATACATGCATCTGTTAAACTGCATTCTGGACAGGATTAATTGTATTCTAGAATATTGGTTTTGTTATGGTTTTAGATGCCACACTTGGGTGGAGCACCTTCCAAGAAAAAGACACTGAGAACTTCGTTTCTTCCCACTGTTTTACCTTCGTCAGTCACATCTGACGTGTCACCATTACAGAACAAACTGTTGACATACCGAAGATGCAACGAACAGCAAAAGATGCTTAATCAGTTACTGTGAGTTTCATGTAATTCAAGGGATGTTGAAGTTCAAATGAAAGAAACATTGCGTGTTTGACATCTGAGAAATAATGATGGTCCTTGTTAATTTTAGAGGTTTTTAATGTCACTATTGCAATGCTGAACAGTTTTCATCTAAAATCATTAATAATAGAAGAACATTTGATGGAATCTCTGGTTTTTCTTTTATAGTACCCAAAATCTGCTTGAGATATGTTTGTTGGGGTGAGTTGTGAGGAGAAAGGGACCTTCGCATTTTGAATGTTGTTTATGATAGACTAAAAGAAAATTCTTTATGAAAAGCTTTTTCAAAGAGAGTTTCAAAGTCTGGATTACTTGCTTGCTTTTGTGTGAATGATCCAAACACGGCTCTACTTCTAGCAGGCTTCTTTGTCACTACCTTAATGCATTTGCTACTGAGCTTAGTGATCTGTGTCGCTGCCAGAAAGGCACAGCTGCCAAGATGATTGGTAAATTCACATAAAATTGTCTTTCAAGATTTTCATTTGCAAAGAAGGAAAAAGCTGCTTTCATGTAGTTGTTTTAGGTCTTGTAGGAAATTAGGTTATTTTATTTTATGTTATTATTTTGATAGAAATTTATTCTTGGAATACCTACATTATTTTCAGGAACTTACTGAAGAGTCCCTGGAGATGTTGATTATCTTGACATAAATATGACTGGATTATGTAAGCTAAGGTTGCATTGTTTATAGTAGTATTATGAAATATGCAGCAACTGGCATTTTCATGCAAAAGATTAAAAAGATAAGGAAATCTAATGATTTGATAGGGTTAAGAAGCACAGAAAAAAAATGTTTCGGCCTTCAGAAGAAGAAATGGAAATTAAAGACCAACATGCAGTCTTAAACCATTTTAAGTGTTGTCATGGATATCAATGATTTTGTTTTTGTTGGTGTGTGTTTTTAGTAATTCCATTTGTTGTGACTAGATTTGGTGACAGTAACCAGTTGCTTAACTAATTCCTATGCAATTGATGTTCCACTTCAGTGGCTAAATTTTTAAGTGGCCAAGTATTACAGGTGGTTTTCTCTCAAAAGATACTTGTATGTGTCCCAAATTGTTGGCTTCACTGGAGCTAGGTAGTGGTATGAAACTAAGTTGCAGGATCAAAGTCTGAGAAGAGTTGATCACAGAATGGAATCTGATTTGTGCCAAAGTAAGTGAGAGGGGGATTGCCTTTTTTTTTTTTTTTTTTTTTTTTTAATTTAATAATGGTAGTGACAATCAGTTATAGAAAACAATCTATATAAAAGTTAAAAATAGAGAAAGATATTTTCTTTCTTTTAATAGTTTAAAGGCTGTTATAATCCAGATCTAACAAACAAGAAGTCTTTTAATCGTAGCTCTTGGAGAGTAAAACCTGACCTTTCAATGACACCTGCAGTAGCAGAGGGCAGCTTTTAGAAGGCAGGTGGTCAGTATGCTGAAAATGTCAACTATATTGCAGTGGTAACTTGCTGTGCAGTTAGATGACTGCTGATCAGCCATCTGACAAACAGTGAATGTTCTGCTGGAACATCGATTCAGTTACAGTTTTGTATAAAGTGAACTGTCTTTTAAATAAGGTCCCATGAAGTAATGATTTGAGAGTATGTGTGAAATTGGCAGTCTAACTTCCAGTTGGGAGTTTTTAGCTGAGTTGTATTGAGATAAGGCTGAAATACTTTTTGCAAGGTATGTACAGACTGTATCCCAAAAGGGTGGACTGAAATGTTTTAATGTGTAAGGTCAGCAGGACACACCAACATTAACCGTTTAAAGTTTTCTGATAGTTGTTTAGCAATTTATAACCACAGGCAGTAAAAAAGAGCTGGTCTTAAACAGCTTTATGAGCTTTGTTCTGCACTTGTTTTCTTTTTCTTTTTCTTTTTTTTTTTTTTTTTTCATAATACAGTTGGTCAAAGTATGTTGCAGTGAGATACAATCCTAACAGGAGCACTGGGCAATTGGATGAGGTGAATCAAGGCATGTATATATTGTGATTCAAGATAATGTGGCTCTTTCTATGAGAGAAGACAGTATGCAAAGGCAGCCTTACTTTTTAGTGATCAAAGAGTTGTTAAACATGAAAAAACAGGTTGCATGGATTAAAATGCTAGCATTATTTTTAATACATTATTTATTATTTCTCTGCACTTCTGACTCTATGTTTTACTTTAGAATTGATCGAGCTTTAAAAGTCTGTCACGTATCCATGGAAGAACAATATCACAGGGATCCTGTACCTCCTATCCCAGAACTGCCTTCCACTGTGAGGAAGTATTTCCTTAATATTTTGTCTGTTGCTTGTTTTTGTTCTTTGGCATTGGGGCATTTATGCCTCTTGCTGCTTAGTATTTACTTAAAGATACTTATCTCAGCCCTTAGTAATTAATAAATGTATTTATAAGCTCAAGGAGTCCCATTGAAACTGATACCTGTATATCTACAGAATAAAGTCTTTATTTAGGAATAATATTTGTTAAATTTTATACTTTTCAATTTTTTGTTTATTTGTTCTCAATATATTACGCTTCTCTGTTCCTTTTTATACAGATGAACAGTGAGCAAAAACAACAAAGAGTGAGTTATATTTCTCCTCCTGCTTTTTTCAGTCTTTATTCAGATCGATTATGTTATGGGGAACTAGTGGTAGTTAAACAGGAAAAGCTGTTTCAGTAGTCATGTTGGGGAAAAATGGAATACGAAGCAAAATAGGAATCTTTTCTTGTGGGCCAATAGAAGGAAAGTATTTTTCTATTACAGAAAGTATGTGCATCAGAATTTTAAGTTTTGATCTAAACCTTAGTTAAAGATCATTACTTAGAAAAGATTCTAACAGGCTTCAGGATTTTTTCAGTCAGGGTCATAGATTGTACTTTAGCCTGTACAAAAAGCAGTCTTTGACATTGTTCACCTGATTTGAAGAACACATACAAATCCTGGAATTTGCATGTAGCTTTTAAAATAAGACTTTATCTTTGAGATCTGCTTTAAACTCAAATTGGCATTCAAATACTTACATTAAGTAGCTTAAGGGAACATGTAGCCTGTGTTAGGTAAACTCATTCTGAAGACTATAGATTTTCAGATCCCTTTTTGTTTTGTAACAAAGCTATCACTCAAAAGCATATATACCTATTTCTTTGGCCAAAAAACACACCTGTTTGTGCATACTTTTTGCCCGATAAATATTTTTCCAATAACAGGAACCTTGAACCGTTTTATTGTCAGTCATAAACTTCAGCAGAGAACCAGGGAAGGTGCCATACTAAAAATTCCAATATTTTTTGTTTAAGCATTGAGACAGGGAGACCACTTTACCAACCAGAGTGGTTTTTAGCGTACTAGTCAGTGAATATGGAAAAGATCAGATTATGTTGCCTACCCTTAAGTATAAGAAGTAGTGAATAAAAAGAGACTTAATTGTCAAGCCTAACACAAAAATATTTACATAGCCAATGATTAGACCTCTGACAATATTGTCTTTTCAGACAAACTATCTCTTTATGAAGAAGTGTGTGCAAAGCAATCCGGTGGTTCCCATTCAGCAGCAGTGGCTAATGTCCGTGCTCACACTGGTGCCACAGTCACTGATGGAAGGCAAGGATAGAGAGCTGTTAGCTGAAAAGCTTTTAGGGGAGGTAAAAAGGGATTATGAAATGAGCATGAGAAGGTGTGTGGGTAAGTACCAGAAACTACACGGTACTAATATTAATATATTAATGTGTGTATATATATATTATAAGCTGTTACATATTGTCCCAGTGAAAATAATTTTTCTAGATTGTTTTTTCAGCCAGGCGTGATCTTTGTAATTAACTACTGATTTCTCTTTTCTGCCTCACCAAGTGTGTATTGAGTGTAATGTTTAAGGCAAAACTTGCTGATTTTATTTGGACTAGCAAGAAGTTAACCAGCTGAAAGAATAGTTCAAGCAAAGACAAAGGCAGCTGTAGACTTCATGAGAAAAAGGTTGACTGCTGATGACCTTGTTTCATTAAGTCTTTAACCTGTTTAGTTAATTTGATGCAAGAACATATCACTTTTTTACTAAAGAATGTAGAAACTTCTTATGTACTAGTCATTGGGTTTTTTTGCCTCTTCAGGAACAGCAGCTTTTTTTAAGCTGTTCGCCCACAAGCACATCCATAAGTTTTCTGATGCCACATTCTGTGCATGAGGAAGCTCACAATAAAAATCTGCAAAGACAGTTAGCTGTTTTCAGATATCATTCATTCAACTCACTTTGATTTTTTAACTTTTTTAAAAGAGCCATGAACTGGAATTTTGAAAAAGTATTCCGTTGAAATAATGTATTAATGTTGTTTATAGTATCTGAAATTGAGCCAAATTTTGTCAATATTTTAGTGAATGACTGATCTTTTTAAAAATGCAGATTAAACCCCTCCCAGTTTAACATGGAACTAACTTCTTCATAATGTCATCAGTGGGATAATTATAGTAACCCACTATAATTATATTAAACAAAATTGCCATAAATACTTAGAATCATAGAATATCTCAAGTAGGATCCCCCATAAGGATCATCAAGTCCAGTTCCCTGCTCCTCGCAGGGCTACCTAAAACTGAATCGTATGACTAAAAACATTGTCCAGATGCTTCTTGAACTCTGACAGGCTTGGTGCCATGACTGCTTCCCTGGGGAGCCTGTTCGGGTGACTGATCATCCTCTCAGTGAAGAAATTACTTAAAGTACTTAATTATTTAAACACTAGTCTGTCTGAAAACCTTCATGAATAGGGGACAGAATTGGAATTAAACCACCTGAATCTGTATAGACACTTAGCAGAAGCTGTGATTTTGAGTTACCTTTGGGAGAATGTGTTTTGAAGACTTGGGTGATGCAGTTACCTTTCCATCCTACTATGTGCTTGGTGCAACCTGGAGAAAGACTGAGGAAGTATAGTGCCTTTTGAATATGGCTTCATTTTCTTCAAGTGTCTTTTTTTTTTTTTTCCCTAGTGCAAAATGTTCTTATTAAACCAGACATAAAAGGACTTGAAGATGAAGAGGAGGCACTTGTGCCTTTATCACCTCTGTGCGTGGATGAAGTTACCAAATAACCCACTGGCAAAACGCAGATGCATGAGTGAAACTCTCGTTGAGCTAAATGAACAGAGTTATGGCACAATATTAAATCTGGAGTCCCTTAATGAGACTTTTTTTTTTCTGTCTGTAGAGGATCTTACATTTGACCATCTTCTATCTGAGTGCTTTACAAAGTTTTAGCACTGACAGTGTTTTATTACTTTTGTGACAGTTACATAGAGTAGCACTAATGACTGCAAATGAAACTTCTGGCTCTGAGTGCCTGGACGCTGAAGTCATATTGCAGCTACCTCTTGAAGTGTGTGTCTCTGGGGCAGTTTACTGGCAGACAGCAGCGTTGTACAGTACCTTAACATGCTAAAACTGCATCTAATGCTAAGGTTTCATATGACTTTGGTGTTATGAGGTGAAACCTTGAGCCTGCAAGAAAGGCATTATGCTCTGCCAAAATAGAAGAGGATTTCAGGTTGACAGAATATAATTCTCTGAATTGCACAATTTGCTGAAGGACCAGAATGTGTGACATTTAAATATCAATGATAAATACTTCCTATTAGCTGGTGGTAGGGTTAGAAGTTTGCATTGAAAGAGCTTCAGGAGGAGCAGTGATCTGAAAATACTCTGGAGTAGAAAACACGGTTGATCAGACAGATCTTTGTGGCTTCCACTGCATCCTATTGCAGATATGTGTATGCCACTTAAATAACTATTTGTATTAGGGAACAAGCTTTTCAATACTACTTTTTATATGTAAGAATGAGCTCTTCACTTTTGTTTCTTTAGTTTGTTAGTAAGAACACTTAGTGATGTTTTGGCCTTAAATTTTGAACTATAGTGGTTTTGTCTGGGCAAGGAAACTTCTTGAGGGCTGGGAGAAGGTTTTTTCATCAGGCCTCTGAACAATGATGGGATTGCTTCACACCAGCTATTGTGTTTCCAGGGCTAGACCAGCCTTTGTGGTGCTGACACCATGACTATTGACAGGAGAGAAGCTGGTGAAATTGCTTGGCAGTTACCCTCCCTAGTTATTTGCTGGTTTATGTAGGAAATCTTCATGTTCAAGCAGGTTCAGTGGACATGGGTAGTATTTACCCTTTATGGGCAGCCTCTCCAGCCTCTTCTAGAGATACCTGCTATTGTCCGCTTTAGGGACAGGATACTGGGCTGGCTGGGTCTCTCCTGTGATCTAGCGTGGCCTTTCTGGTATTCTTGCATCCCTGTTGTTATTCAGCTGCAAATCAAGAGCTCCTTGTTGTGGGGAGATGAAATAGAATTTGTCACTGGTAGCTTCCTGGGTATTACTTAACGGTTAAGTTGTTAAAAGATCATAGCACTAAAGATGTAACTGCATTTTGGAAAATTAATTTCCAGGTAAGTTAAACTTCCTGAACTCCTTTGGCCATCTGTGTGTGTGAAAGAACCTAAATACTCCTAAATATTTTTCTTTTATTTATTGCTAGATGTTTTTATTTTCTCTTTGGGAACTAGTGTACCCCAGTGTCTGCCTTTCCTGTATTTATTCTCTCTAACATTGTTTGTTTGGAAATATTAAGGTAACATTCTTTAAATATTTATTAAGGAATGGGAAAATCGCTTAATTCGAATTCAGGAGGTTATTGATGAATGGCTGAAAGTGCAAGCACAGTGGCTTTATTTGGAACCTATTTTTTCTTCTGAGGATATTATGCAAGAGATGCCAGAAGAGGGGCATCTCTTTCAGACTGTGGATAGATACTGGAGAGATATTATGAAGTCTTGTGCCAAAGACCCAAAGGTAAGAAAAATAGACGGGATTAAAAGGAAAGAGTAGCTTCTCTCTGGTGTTGCTTTTTTTTTTTTTTTTTTGGTGAACGCTTTTGTTTTCAGAATATATACAATGAATACTACATTAGTTGCTGAGGCTTTCTAGGAACAAAACCATGTGGTACATTATTTGAATAACTTGTACTGTTTGAAGTATCTTGTTGGGGATAGCCTGACTGAGGAAGATGAAATTGGCCTTGACAACATCCCAGTATACCTGTGAGAAGATGAAAGAAGTGGATGAAGAATGTCATAACCAGGTTTGAGGAGGTGATAAGAGACTGAGCAAGAAGAGACTAAACAAGTGAATACCACAGAGCAGAAATTTGGCAAGAGAACAGTAGATGAAGTGGGAAATACAGTAAGAGCTCCAGCCAATCAGTATGCGAATAGAGGTGAATGGACAGAGGTCTTGAGCGAATCATTTTAGCAGCCTTAGTGCGTGAACCAGTGGACAGATAAGAAAGGTAATAAAAGGGTATGCTTTTTCTGCTGTGCCAGCTCAGCCATCTTGGCTTTTGTAACTTAATAAAGGCTGCCTTCTCACATATATTTTTTTGTTGGTGTCGGTCTCTACCGCGACAGTATTTTATTTATAACTTACAGTTTGCATGTGTGTGTTGTTACAGGTTCTTGTTGCTACTTCCTTGATAGGGTTATTGGAGAAGCTTCAGAACTGTAATGAGCTTCTTGACAAAATCATGAAAGGGCTTAATGCATATCTTGAGAAAAAACGTCTCTTCTTTCCCTGGTATGATGAGTTTTGGCTATTTAAAAAAGAAAGGTTCTGAATGTTTATTTTGTTGTTGAATAAGATTAGCCTTTAATGTAGCTTGATAATACAGTTGGCTTTGTTCTCTCTTTTTTCTAAATTTTTTTTAGCTTCTTTTTCTTGTCTAATGATGAAATGTTGGAGATCCTGTCAGAGACTAAGGATCCTCTCAGAGTTCAGACTCACTTGAAGAAGGGGTTTGAAGGCATTGCTAAGCTACATTTCCTTCCTAATTTGGATATTAAAGCAATGTATAGTTCTGAAGGCGAGTGTGTAGAACTGATTTCAACCATTTCTACTTCTGAAGCTCGAGGTGCAGTGGAGAAGTAGTTAATTCAAGTGGAAGATATTATGCTGAAGAGTATTCATGATGTTATTGCTAGATCAAGAATGGTATGGGTTTTGTAATAATTTAATAACTGTCGTACAAATAGATCTTTCTTTATTTTAAGGCTGTTTCTTGGCTTCCTAACATTCTTCCTGAACAGAAGAGTTGATGAAGTTATGGGGCCAGGACCAAGTTAACATGATGTGTTTTTATAGGCCGGTGAGATACGTAAGAGTTTAGTTTGAATAAGAATCAAGTAGTTTTCCTGTAACATTGGATGGATGAAAATTCTTTTAAAAGCTTGGCAGCAATACTGTGCCTATAGAATATATCACCTGACATAAATTATTCAGGTTTCTTTATTTAATTACAAGTTAAAAATACAACACTTGTAATATGATTGCTCCTTCTAAAAGAAAATCTTTAGTCAGAAAATGTTTCTTTGTATGAAGTTAGCAAGTTGTAAATATTTACATTAAATGGAAATTGCAAGAATCTTTAAAATTATTTGATAACAAATTGCTAACCTAAGGGGAAAACAGTGTTTAAAAGTTTGTGTGGACTTTGAAAATAGGAAAATAATATTTTTTACCAGAGAATATTAGTAAGATGACATTATATGCTTCTGTATTACAGTATGGTATGTATGTGCTGACACTGTATTTGTATACTGTATTTAAATCTTTCAGGCATATCTAGAGACTGAGAGAAAAAGATGGGTTCTGGAGTGGCCTGGACAAGTAGTATTGTGTGTCTCTCAAATGTTCTGGATAAGTGAGGTACATGACATTCTTTGCAGTGGACCAGAGGTACTTCGTAATGCATAATCTACTTTAAAAAACTTTATTACATTTCAGCTAATGTATTTAGCTTAATCAAATGTTTTTCTACAATCAGAATAAAATTTGAAAAAGGATCAGCGTGTGACTTTGATATACATGAATTCGTGTGCACTGATTTATACCTTTGATTCAGGTACTTGAATATTCTTGTTTAGAGCAAGCGTAGTTTAAAATGAGGCTTTGCAACATAAAGGCATAAATGTGAGTGAGAGAGAAGTTGATGCAAAAACATGACAATGTAAATGTAAAAGAATGTCTTAATAAGCAATCTCCATTAAGATATTTAGTCAACATGAAGTTTGGAACGCTTGAAACTGTCATGTAATCAGTTTCATAATTACCTTTTTTCTCCTAGTGTTTAAAGGATTATTATGATACACTTCAGCTTCAGCTTAATGATATTGTACAGCTGGTAAGAGGAAAACTCAAAGCAAACAAGGACTACTCTGGGTGCCCTGGTTACTCTTGATGTTCATGCTAGAGATATCCTCATGGAAATGATTGAAAGCGGTAATTATCTTTTAAACTCTTTTTCTTCACATCTGTCTTAATACATAGTTAATTAAAAATAGTTAACCAATCTGATTTTGCTGCCCAAAACACAACAGTATTAAGATATGTATGTGAGCATTTGGATGCGAGCATCAATATTAATAATTTCAAGCTGTTTAAATTTAAACATAATAGAAAATCCAGTTATCTAAAATGTCTTTTGTGATTGCTTTCAATTTTGTGTTTATCAGGCATACAGAGTGAAACAGACTTTCAGTGGCTTGCACAACTGCGATATTATTGAGAATTTGAGAACGTTCGTGTCTGTATCATTAATTGCAATGTAAAATATGCCTATGAATACCTTGGAAACTCAACACGCCTTGTCATTACTCCTCTTACAGACAGGTGTTACCGCAACTTGGTATGATTTTCCACCAGTGCTACTAAATAGTATATTTACTGTAGTATAGTATTTCTTACACTTCATTACAGCCATACTTTTAGGGTTTGCAGTTGCTGTCAGACTCTGCTATTTCTGTTAAAATGTGGTTTCTGAAGATTGTAATTTCTGTAGAATATTGAACGTGAAACTGATCTATAACAGCAAATCTAGACAGACTGCCAAGGTGACTGAAGCATTAGTGGATTGTTCTGTTGTGAATGTGTTTTTTAAAATACAGACAGAAAAAACACCCAATATTTTTATTGCTGTCTAGATTACAAGAACACAAAATCCTTTTTTGATATTCTGTGGTTGCTAAATAAAGTGGAGAAGGATTCACTTGTGATCATACTGTTCCTAAGACTAGTACAACAGTTTGGCAACTTATCAGTATCCCTCCTCTTGTTAGTGGTGTTTATTATTGTACTGATCTATCATCAACTAACTTGACAACTGAAAGTTACCAAAGTTGTCTCAGATATGGCTCTTCTGACTATCATTTACTGCAGTTCATTTGGCTGGATTGTGATTTGAAGTTTTGCTGTGCACCCATCCTCCTCTTGTTGTGAGATGGTGATTTTCATGCTGTGGAGACCTAATCAGAAGTTCCAGACTGTTTAAGAAAAAAGGTCTGAAAAGACCTGACTGATGCATCTGGAGATTATTCCTTTTGCCCTCTTCATAGCTTCATTTTTTATGGTATGGCTGTAGCTGATGTTTGGTGCCTATTTGTCAAAACATCAAGGTACATTGGTGTGAGAGGGCTATGCGGCTGTTAGTCTGTTTCTTTTTTAGGCTCACAGACCTTGAATCTCGAAGAAAGGCTGTTGTGAGCCTGGCACTCTGGCAAATGGAAGTATCATCCTTTGCCCACCAAGGTCTTAATACACTATTCCCAGTGCTTGTCAATATAGATGTGGCTCTGTAACTGTGGATTGGAAGCCAAATACATCTCAGTTTTTGTTTAGAGTTTGCAACTTTATTTTTTTTTTTCTGTCAGATTTTCCTCCTACTTCAGTGGCATATAGGAGAGAATATGGCATGATCAACGGAATACACATGCATCAAAGGTGGACAGTGTAGGAAAGAAAAGAGAAAAAAATATATTAAAGCAGAAATAGAGATAGAAAAGAGTAGCAACCAAGTAATTGCATCAAATTTAATTTGGAAGTTGTATCTAAGCAAGAACCAAAAGATGGGGTCCAATAAAGTCTGAGTAACTAGTCGTGATCACAATGATAATAAAAGTATAGACTCTCTGTTAGGGTCAAAATTAAATTCTCTTGTATATATTTCCAAGCCGTAAGTAAATTTCGAATGATTTTTTAATTAGTATAACCGTCCTTTTTGTGTTAGATTGTTTCATACAGCCATTGTATCTAGTGCAAATTAGTTTAACATTTTCATTGATTCATATGAATGAAGTACTAATAATTTCCATAACCTATTTCTGTTTCTTAGATTGCAGCCTTTTATTTAAACCTTGGTGGTGCCCCAGAGGGTCCAGCAGGTACAGGTAAAACAGAGACCACCAAAGATTTGGCTAAAGCTCTTGCTGTTCAGTGTGTTGTCTTCAGCTGCTCTGAGGGCCTTGATTACCTGGCAATGGGAAAGGTAAATAGAAAATAAATGTATGTTGTATTTTATTTTTTAGGATGAAAATTGTGGGGTCGCTACTTTGCAGAGACAGTTAAATAAATGCGGCACCTGTGGTCTGCTACCGTTGAACACTGTGTGCTGGTCTCTATATATGTTTCATTTTCTGTGCTGTATGAAATCCTATTAAGTTGCTAATGAAAACATGAAGGAAACAAGACTTCACAGGATCAGGATCTTCTGATTTAGCTTTCTGTAGAACAAAAAAAGACTTTGTTCTTCAGTACGTCATTGATCTTTGCTCTAAGCAGCCTTAGATATTATTATCATAATTGTATCTTTCATGTAATTAAATTCCAACATGATTCTCTTAGTTTCTTTTTAGTTTTCTAAGATTGTTAATGATATTATTGCTATCTTTCTTCATTTGCAGTTTTTCAAGGGTTTGCCTTCATCAGGTGCATGGGCATGTTTTGATGAATTCAATCGCATTGAACTGGAAGTACTGTGTGTTGTGGCACAGCAGATCCTTTGCATCCAGAGAGCCGTACAGATAACGCTAGAAACATTTGTTTTTGAAGGAACTGAACTGAAGCTTAACCCCAACTGTTTTGTAGTTATTACCATGAATCCAGGATACGCAGGACATTCTGAACTTCCAGATAATCTGAAGGTAAAATAATAAAACACGTGCTTCTTCTTAAGAACGAATTTTTTAAAAAAACTGAGGGACACATGTATTGCTGATATTAATTCAGACTGTACCACCTGGAATGTAAAGGTGTAATGCTGTAGCAAGTAAATAAGTACATGTCAGGCTGTAGGTGGATTATAAGATCTGGATGCTAACATTTTTAAGAAGGAAGAGTATTTTGGAAAATACGCTTTAAGAAAGTATTTTTATATTGCATTTATTGTAGTCTTATTTAAAAGATCTGTTAGCGAACTACACTTAATACATGTAATGAATTTACTTGGATTACCTGATGAAATAAAGTCTTTGAGATGATTGTTTTGACTTGATAATTAGCTGTTTCGTTAAGGAAGCTTGGCTTCGGTAAAGTGATCTGGAGCCTTTTGGAACAGCATCTGTTCCTTGAGACTCAGTGTGGCACAGAGCTACTGGGCCAGACTGCCAGTTGCCTCGGTGGGAACTATACTGTGAATGCTAACTTAGAGCAGTTAGTGCAGCATGAGGAGTAGACCAACTGCAGGTTACTTAAAGGAAATGCATTCTCTCCCCTGCCGTGTACCTCACCTTCCTTTGCTTGCTGCTGTGTTGGATGTATCAGTGTAAGGGGCAAACTGCATTCCTGAGACAGTGATAAGGGAAAAGAGCTGGAGAGACAGTATCTTTTCTGCACTAGGTTGTACATTGAGATAGATTTTGATGGCAGCTTGCTTACGTTAGCTTCCTAGTGAGTCATAAGCTGCAAACATTGATAACTCTTGTATTTCATTGGCTCCCAAATGTTCTGCAGGCCACTGCTTTCCAGTGCAACTGTTTTAAATCATCCACAGCTTACCTAATCATACTAAGCAGTACTTCATTTAAAATGCTGTTACTGTTTTCAGTTAGAAATGCTGTGGTGGGATGAATACTGATCCATCACCTGCAAAAGTTCTGAATTACTTTTATTCCTCAATTAATTATTTAAAGACATTTCTCTGGGTATGTATTTCAGGTTCTTTTCCGAACAGTAGCCATGATGGTTCCTAACTATGCTCTGATAGCAGTAATTTCGCTTTATTCATATGGATTTTTGAATGCTAAGTCACTACCAGTGAAGATAGTAATGACCTACAGGCTTTGTTCAGAACAGCTTTCCTCTCAGTATCACTATGACTATGGTATGTGAGCAGTTAAAGCTGTGTTGGTGGCTGCTGGGAATCTAAAATTGAAATTTCCCACAGAAGATGAAGATATATTGGTGAGTTCCTGAGGGAATAATTTTTAAGGAATTATACAGATGCATGCAGTTCTGAGTTCTCAAGGCAGCTCCACCGTGTCTTGTCACATTGCTGATCCATGGTTCTTAATTTGTGAAATAAAGATAATATGTGCTGTACTTTCCAGTGCTATGCTGATGATTGCACAGTTGTGCTTAACTAATTATCAAAGGCACCCTTTAATTCATCTTTATTACATGTGAGTTTTTAACTGCTGAACAGTTTATTCTGTATTTTTAATAAGAACAGTAAAATGTATATTTGTTTCCTCTAGCTTCTTAGATCAATTAAGGATGTGAATGAGCCCAAATTTTTGTCACATGATATACCTCTGTTCATGGGTATAACTAGTGATTTATTTCCTGGAATCAAGCTTCCCGATGCAAACTACAATGTAAGTACACTTGTAACTTTCCCTTGCTTGTAATCATTGTGGGCTTTTTGGTGGTGTTTTGTTCTTAACCAAGTATAATTAATACAGTAATTTGTGAGTTAATGCAAGATAAGGAAAATTGCTGAATATTTGCAATGAAACTTAGTACTAAAGAAAATTCCTGTATCTGTTTGGAGTATAATCCACAGCTGGGTTCCCTTACATTGTGTAAGGCATCCTACAGATCGGAAACTTTAGGATCGTTTGCTGACTACTTCTCTGATTTTTGGACATAATTAAGTGAGACTAAGCTTTCTGTTTGTATTTTCTTATGTTTATAGCAACAATTAAAGCATAGTTCCTTAGTAGAAGGATGGTTGGGAAGAATATGAGCATGTTGGAAAAGACAAAATGGATTCACTTTTTAAAAAATTCCTGTAAATACTAGAGTCTTGTTAAAAGCGTATTGTTCCAAAACACACTGTTGGTTTCCTGATGGTGATATGCCTTCTCCCCAGGATAAAAATTTTAGTTAACTCCTGTTCTAACATATGAAGCACAGAGGTGATTTTTTTTTTTTTCCAGGGATGTTTGTCATATTCTGATTAATAGTATCTCAGTTATTAATTAATTTGAAATCCTCATTGATGAGCATAAACTGTTCTACTGTAGTCCAAGGCAGTGATTTAAATTGTAGTGAAGATAAGATTATGATCTGGTTTTGATTTTAGGATTTTCTGGAATGTGCTGGTGAATGTTGCATTCAACATAATGTTCAACCTGTAAAAGCTTTTATAAAGAAAATGATACAAACATATGAAATTATGATTGTTAGACATGGGTAAGATTCTTATTACTGTTTCACAAGCTGTATTTGTTGTGGCTTTGGCTTATACTGTTGTGGTTATTTATGTCAAGTATAAAAGGTCTTAAGTGTGGCAAAAATGTTTCTATTTGTATTGGAACAGTTGGTCACCAATACTGCTTTTACATGTCCCAAAATTCTCATGGATCTGTATCTGGGGAATTGTACTACTCTTGATATGAGAAGTAGCCTCACTTGTATGATGATTTTGGGTGTGGATATCAGTATGGTGAAGACTTAGGACTGTAAGTTTGTCTATATTAAAATATTAGTTGTCAGACTTCTGCCATTTTACTCCTAGCTTTTACTACTGACTAACAACTGTATGGAGAAAATATATACACTCTGACTTCAGCCATACGATTGTTAATATTCAGCTCGCTATTTTTTTTCAGTGTGACATTGTTATAGTTGCATCTCTCTGCTGAGTGACTAAAAAGTTATTTTGAAATGCGGGCAAAGGTAGTTTAATGTTTGTGTGGTTTTAGTTTTTTTGTGTGTGTGTATAGTACATGTTCCTACTGTTTGTGTTCTTGCAGAAGTTTGTTATAAACCCTGTCTAGGCTGAAAATCAACTAGAAAGTAATCTTTGATTCAGCAAATAAATGCACTAGTGTGGTGGTGAATCTACGTTTTAGAGGACAACTTGTGTACAGTGGCTGTGCAATCAGATTGGCATGTGTAAATGAACTGCATTTGCCTAAATGATCTTTCATATATACAAACCGGATTTACTTGCTCTGCTTTTTGAAAATTAGCTTTAGGCGTATGAATGATGCTGTTGGCCTTCATGTGGCCTGTAAAAGTCTAAATTGCAAGACAAATTTATTAATAGCATTTATTTATTTATTTTTTCTAACAGCTTTATGCTGGTAGGGGAGTCTTTTTCTGGGAAGACCAAAGTTCTACACACGTTGGCAGATACACTGTCTCTTATGAAAAAGCGTCGTTATGGTGAAGAAGTAATTTTTAGAACTGTAAATCCAAAATCAGTCGCTATGGGTCAGCTTTTTGGTCAGTTTGATATGGTATCCCATGAGGTAATATATGCTTTTAAAATAGCATGTGGTAATTGCACACCTTCATCTGTTTCTTCCTCTCTCGCCTGCTGTGGGTTTCATGGGGTTTGTATGAGTGCACTTGTTGTAACTATGTTCTAAGTTCATCTTAACTCTTGGTGGTGTTCATGGTTGTTTTTAGGGGGCAGGAAAGGCAGTTTACAAGGCTTCTGCTTCTGGTTTCTAAGTCCCAATTCCAGACAGCATTTCTTCATCTGTTCCCTGGACTCCAGACAGTGATTATAGGGCTGTGCTATAAATTAAATTACTGGTTCGGTTTTAAGAAAAAAAGAAGCAAACTACCAGTATGGGTTCAAGACTTAGGAGCTAATAATCCTGTCTGTTTTTAATGCTTTTGTAGTATTTCTAGTGCTTGCTTTTATTTTTTTTTCTTCTCCCCTGCCCCTTTTCCTATGTATGTCAGACCTCCATTATTCTGGATAGAAAACAGTTCAATTCATGATTTTATGATTTTAAACACAGATGAGAAACACAATTGTAAGTTTTGTTTAACTAATACTTTTATGACTTGTTTTAAATTAGTGTGTTAAAAAGATGCTCTACCAAGTATCAAGTATATTTTTGGTACCTAGTTATGTAAGTTTAAATATGCAAAAAAAAAAAAAAAAAGCAATACTGTTCTGAGGGTCATTGCCCTAATATATTTGTATCCACGCTAGGAAATCACGCCAAACTTGACTTCATTTCTCTGTCTATTCCTAACCAATATAATCAAAGTAATCTGAAAACTATCTAGAAAAACTTATGAACACATGGGTTCCCAGGTGTGAAACTTGGGTTTAGAGAAGAAACAATATGAAGAAGCAAATGTGAAACAGTGAAACTTAGGGTGACTCTGGGGAGAAACAGATGCAAGACAGAGCAGAAGCACTTGTAAGTTTCTGCAGATTGAATCGCCAGTCCTCTGTACAATATTTTTTATAGTGAAAACTCCACTATTTTAAAATTTTCTGATGTTGCATGACCCTCAGTGAAACTGCAAAATTATGTTCTGCTTTCTGCAGAACAAGAGAGGAATAATGAAAAGGAAATCGAAGGTTTTTCTGTTACTTGCAGTTTAAATCGAACTATGTATACTGTCTTACTTTTCATTCCTACGTTCTCCCCCTCTAGTGGACAGACTGTATAATTGCTAATACTTTCAGAGAATTTGCATTATCTGAGACTCCTGAACGCAAATGGGTTATCTTTGATGGCCCAATTGATACTCTGTGGATAGAAAGCATGAACACAGTTCTGGATGACAACAAAACGGTGGAAATAAATGCCTAAATAAAATAAAGTGACATTTTGCAAATATTCTTCTGTATAAAAACCACAAAGGCAAAGAGCAGTGCCTGGCATTTGAAAAGAGCAAGTACAAGGTGGCTTTGGTAACAAGTTGGTCAGCTCTTTTTGGTTGTTTGGTTTGGGTTTTACCTTGCTTTATGGGAATCATAATCACAGAATCAACTCATTGCTGTAAGACATTACATATATATATATATATATATTTCCTTAATGTCATATTGTAAGTTTGTAACATAAATAATTTAAATGTAAAAAATTACATTTAATTATATTTAATGTAAATCCCACAGTTTCAAAACTTGCACAAACACAGGCACTTACAATTAAAGACAATCCCAAAACACAGAGTTGTATTTTCAGAATTAGCGACTTCTGAAGTCAAAGTTATAATTATTGCTCCCAGCAATGAAACACTTTATATGGTTGACCTTGCCTTTGGTTATACTTGGTTTTGCTGATTTGCATATAGAACTCTCCCGTGATAAGGAGTGTAATTTACAACTAATTTTTTTTTCTAATCTTGCTTGTGATATTTTTTTTTTTAAATTATTAAAGCTTTGTTTGATGAGTGGGGAAATCATCCTAATGTCCCTTCAGATGAATTTTATTTTTGAAACAGTGGATCTTTCCCAGGCATCAGTAAGTTTTGTATTTAATGAAAATATAAAACAAAGTTCAATATATTAAATGTATAATAAAATGAGTTCACCATTTTTCCTTAGCCTGCTACAGTCAGTCGTGGCATGATTTATTTGGAACTTTCTCAACTGGGCTGGAGGCCACTTGTTACCTCTTGGTTGAGTAAACTGCCCGAACCCCTTAACTTAAAGGAACATCAAGATCTTCTGCAGGGACTTTTTGATTGGTTAATACCACCAGCATTAAGACTCCGTCAGAAACAGTACAAGGTATTTTTTGCCAGGTGGCCATTTCCATTCTGTTACCCTTGGTAGGGCAGCAGGACTATTCTCTCATGACAAGCACAATTAAAATGAATATGCAGCAGCCTCCTATTGTTCTGAGAAGGGCAACTCTTGGGTCCAATTTGGAAAATTAAAATGAGAATGTTAGGTAAGACTTGTGTTGTAAGTTGGTCATAGTTTTCACCTTGTTCTTTTCGAAAGTAAAGTAAGTATTTAAAGCAGTGAGTTAAAAGTCTTCACAAGAGAACTTTGTACATATTTTTTTTTTCTTTAAGGATGTCATGATGAGTAGGGAAGTACTTTTTTAAGTGTTGCAGGAAACATACGTGTAGTTCCTTGCAAATTCTGTGTGATACAGTGCTTAGGCTTTTGCTTGTGTATTGCTATAGTTATTCCATGGGGCTTTTTTGTTTTAAGATGTATGATAGCAGTGGTCACATGGTAGCCGTGAATGTGGTTAACAAGCTGAATGACTTGATGTTTCAAAGATAAGGAGGGCAAATGATCTTTTGAATAAAAGTCAATGTAAACCTTGTATTCAAATATTTGTTTAGAATTAGCTAATTATCTAATTACTTTAGTACTTTAATTCCAAAAGATAAACTAACTGAACATGTAAAGTATAATACTCATCCTTTTGTATCTCTTAGGAACTGGTACCTACAAGCAATACCAAACTCTTACACGTATTTTTGAAATGTTGATTTGTCAAACTGTGCAAGAAGATCACTCCAACAGAAACATCCGTGCATGGATTATGGTTGGTTTCTTTTTAACCTGTAGGCAGATATATATCTGTTTCTGCATATGCTGGTCTTCAAAAATAATGGAATTCATCAAATCAACGTTAATTTGGGATAAGAGATGTGAAAAAATTTCACTACCTCCTTGCTCCCTCCCCCCAAACTTTGGAGATACCCAGGTGAGACACAATTCCTATAAGTAACAAATATGAGTAAATGTTTTACTATTTTTCCAATTAACTGGGATAAATAGCATTTTTGTTAAATGTGCTTTTTAGCTAACTAATTGGCTAAACTGTCATTTCCCTTGAAAGAGTAAGTGTGTAAGACTGATTGGCTTATTTGAGCAAAATTTCCTTGGGAGGAGTGTTTTCTGAGAGTTATATTAGTTGAATGCTTGGTCTGACCTTATATGACTCTTCTTATGAAAAACTGATAAAAACAGAACGTTGAAGTATTTATTTAAAATTTAACTAGAAAATTCCTAGATCCTGGCTTGCAATTAAAAAATCCTGAGACTGCATGATTCTCAGACTTTGTCATTAACATAATGCTTTAGTCAGTGGCCTTTATTTTTTGTCATATCCATATAGCCTTGAATAAGATTTGTTTGTTTGTTTGTTTGCTCTGTCTTTAATCAGATTTCTAAATCTCTTTAGACCAGGGCTATCCAAGGGTAACTCATAACACCTAGCTGCTTAACAATATTTTTCAGAATTATGCTTTGTTAATAAGACTGCACAAGTTTCATATAATAGGTCAACTTTTTAGACAGTTGCTCACCTTTTTGCCCTTGCAAGGTTGCTTTGCTTTTGCCACAATCTGGTCGATTGGTGGGACTTGTGATGGTGACAGCAGGATAATTTTTGATAATTTCTTGAGGGAAACTTTGGCTGGGAAATCTGGAATAAATCCTGTACCAATGAGTGTGGGAAAATGGGAGTGTCCCTTTGAAGAGAAAGGCTTGGTCTATGACTACATGTATGAGGTATGATTAGTTGCTTCTGCATTGACAGAAGTAGGTTCTTACAGTCTGAATGGAAGGAAAATGTAGCTAGATGGATATTTTAGCTTTATAAAGCTTGTTGGATGTTGTAGAGTGTTGGTGTTGTATTAAATCATGTAGTGCATTTTTCATACATTTTTCTTTTTTGAATGTTAATGTGCTGATTAAACTTTTTAGAAAATACCAAGATGTACAAGTTATATTTATAATGTTGACACATTATAGTTATTTTGTAGCTAAAGCCAAGCTCACAGGCTCAGATCTGGTTTCTTATAGAAGGAAATATGGGGACTGTCTAGAAGGAAAGCAGGATGCTGAGCCCATAGGCAGTTTGCTTATATTACAGTGTTGTTTATAGTATCCATTAGAAATGTTAGATTATAATTAGACTAATTTTTGCGTATGTTGTTCTGTTGGGGTTTTATATGTTTTTGTTTGGTTTGGCTGAACAAAGTCTTTAAGAAAAGAAAGAGTCTAAGCTTAGGTATGTACTTTAACACTGTTGGTGAGATAAAGTGAACTTATGAAATATTTAATGTTTGTTAATTTATTAAAATTCATTTTTTCATTTTTCAGAAGTGAAGCAGTAGAGAAAGCCTTCCGTATGCGTAGAAGTAACACCATTCTATTTTACATCTGTATTTCTTCCCTAGTTGAAAGGCAGAGGATGTTGGGTTCGTTGGAATGGATTTATTAAAAAAATTAATTACAGTGATAAAAATGTGAAGATTCAGGATATTATAGTCCCAACTATGGATACAGTCCACTATACCTATTTGATAGAGATATTCGTCACCCATGGAAAGTATGTTCCATCACTTCAGTGCAAGTTTCTGAAACATTGGTCATGGGTAGAAACATCTCTCATTCTTTCCATTGACTTCATTGTTTTCATCAAGCCCTCAAAGGTTGTTTGGCCTCTTAAAAATAGCTATTTGCTACAAACAATACACCTTGTTGCCTTAAAGTCTGGTTTTGTTGGTTTGTTTTTTTCTTATGTGAAGCCTTATTATAATCCAGTTTTCTTATGCTTGTTCTGATGATGCTGTTATCCCAAAGAGTTTTTGTACCGTCTTTCTTCTTTGGTAATTAATTTTTTTGTTGTTGTTCTTTGATTAGTCATATCAAAATCAGTTATAGCTATGGTCAGATTGCATAAGAGAATGAGAGATAAACCAGCTTCAGGTTAAATTTCAAGGCTGAAAGTTTTATGAAGTTTAAACTACTGCAAGACCTATCAGGAGAACCATGTATGTTCATGCATACTCCAAAGCCAGTAGAATGAGGGAATGAGAAATTACTTTCTCTTTGTCCCCTTTGTCTTGTTGGTGGGAGCAAACTAAAATTATGAGAGGGTTATATGAATATGTTCAAACATTTTAGTTTCTTCTTAAGGCATGTAATGTTTTCAGAGGTAGAATGAGCAGGGCAAGTTAGTAAAACCTTTGACTTCTAATTGCAATTAGTTTATAGCTTGTTAGATTTCTGCAGTCCGAATGCTTTATTTCTTTCTTTGTGGAGACCTCTGCTTTTAGTGGGACCAACAGGTACTGGGAAATCTGTGTATGTCAAGGACAAGTTAATGAACCACTTGGAAAAGGAGCAGTACTTTCCCTTCTTCATTAATTTTTCTGCTTGAACCAGTGCCAATCAGACCCAGGTTAGTAGAACAGATAATTTATGTTTCAAAAAGATAACATATCTAAATATTTAATCTATGTTTTGAATATTCCTGTCTGCATTATAGAATATTATTATGGCCAGGCTGGACAAGAGGCGCAAAGGAGTCTTTGGCCCTCCAATGGGAAAAAAGTGCATTATTTTTGTAGATGATGTAAATATGCCTGCTTTGGAGAAGTACGGTGCACAGCCTCCTACAGAACTTTTAAGACAGTTCTTTGACCATGGATTTTGGTAATTATTTGAAATACAATTGTAAAATTTTTATTGCTGCATTTCCTGTTATAATTACTTATTCACTTGAATTTTACTTTCAAAACTCTTAAAAAGTGCTTTATAAAGGATAAGATAGCTTTGGTTCATATAAAAATATGTTGAAGCAACTTCTCTGTTGCTCTTTCAGTGACTTTTTGATTTAGGAAATTGATCACCAGATTTGTTTTGGGTTTTTTAAAAGGTTTTATTGCTGAACTTTGGCAGTATTTGTATATATAAAATAATACCTTTACTTTTGTTATTTTTTTTATTCATTATTTTTCTGGGGCTTTTTATGTCTACATTTTTAATTGTTTTTGTTATCCAGTGCAGTTCCTTGTTTCTTTCCTTTCTCTTCCTCCTCAAAATGAATTGACATATGTATATGCATTGTTTTTTGCTGTCATCCAATATCACAATTTTATTATTTAATTTTTTTTAGCAAAATTTCAACATTTCTTTTTTTTTAAAATAACAGTGAAGTCAGATCAGGTAATAGGCATAAAGAAAAATAAGGTAAAGGTCTTTGCTGCTTTTGAGAGTTTTGGCTCTGCTTAGATTGGAAGATTGGAACAGGTGGTCTCCTGAAGTCCCTTCCAGCCTGAATTATTCTGTGATTCCAGGCATTTCTCAAATACTGTTACTGTTGTGATTCCAGGCTCAAATACCTGTTGTTCTTGAATAGAGATAATATATCTTGTCGCATTACAGTTCTAAATACTCATCTCAAAATTTCGTATCAGGTTTTATGTTACCTAGTTTAAGCAAGAAATCTTTCAGGCCAACATGATGTGTTGAGATGAACTGGGGCAACCCAAGACTAGCGGTTCTTGGGTTTTTTGTGTGTTTGGGGTTTTTTTGTTTTAAAAAGTATAAATTCTATAAAAATACATATAAAAATATAGTACGTAATATATATTTTTAAGTACATACACTGTGCTTGCAGCGAGTACTCTGTAATATAGATGCATCTAAGCTGTAACAAATACGTTGTATCTGTAACTACCTAAATGTCACATTGCAATTTATTTTGAAGGTATGATTTAAAGGACACGTCTAAAATTACACTTGTTGATGTACAGTTACTGGCTGCTATGGGACCTCCAGGCGGCAGGAGGAATCCTATTAGTCCTTGATTTTTGTGACACTTCAACATTTTCACTATTGATTCTTTTAGCGATGAAACAATGGTCCGCATTTTCTCTACTGTAGTAGCTTTCTACCTACGGACTAGTGAATTTTCTGCCGACTACTTCACAATTGGAAATCAAATTGTCACTGCCACTTTAGAGGTAAGAGGCAAATACCTTATTGGAAGTTTCCTTTAATTTGTTCAGTAAATTTCCCCTGGCTCTATAATAATTCAATTGGTGAAGCAAAGATTTTTAGATATTTTGTTCCTTATTATTTTAAACACACAGTGTCATCTGCTTTGAAAAATTGTCTAGTTTTATTGTTGCAGTAGCTTTATTCTAGGAAAATTGCCTTTGAATTTGTGTTAGTGTGGGCTTCTGTCCACATAATATGAAGTAGATGAGACTGGAATCTCTTCAGGGTCAGACAGGCACGGGAAGCTGTCACATGGAAAGACAAAATGAAAATATCAGCTGCAACCCTTCCAAAATTCCTTCTCAGAGAGAAGGAATCACCTTCTCCACTTTCCTTCTTCCTCTCCTAGTTTTTATGCTTATTTTTAATGCTTATTATGGACACATCACAGCAGACTAAGGAAGCCAACATGAACATGCAGCTTTGTAGAATCTGACTCCAGTATGAAAAAAGAAAAAAGAGAAATGTTGTGAAACTGAAAGCCATTAGGCCTAGTTGTATGGAATTTCTAAATGTTTTGTGAAGTTCCTTGTTACAGATTTTAGCAAGTATCACATTTACAATGTACCATACATATAAAAAAAAAAGCAATAGCAATTTGTGACACTTTTGGAAAGAAGCATTAAGTTACAGGCATAACATCAAGGTATAGCTTGGCTGGCTTATTACATATCAGAAATCATTAGCAGTGTGAACAAATCTATTGCCTACCATAAGTTTTCATCATGGAAGTGCATTAGGTAGCTAATATTTGACCAATGAAAAATTCTGACAGAAAATCTGATCCGCCTCAAAAGCAAAATCAAATGCCTGAAGTTTCACGGTGAGATGTGACTTCCTTCTCCGGCAGAACTGAGCCTTTCTCAGACTTTTCCGCTAGTTCTGCTTATACCCAAGGACATATTCATGTATGAATTACAAGGCTGACTGACTGCTGCCACTAGAAATCTTTTTGTAGGTTCAATTAATCCTTCCAAAAAAACCAAACAAGTAATTCACAAGAAATTTGGAGGTTTTGCTTCTTTAAATAGAAAATAATAGTAAGCAGCTACTAGCAATCTGAATGAGTTTGCCCACATATTTTAAACATTCGGTTTTGTTAGGATACATCTCAGACTAAGTTCAGAGTGTTGTCTTTTGATACAGTCGTGCAGGTATTTCTCATCAGACTGCATCAAATTTTGTTTATACTGTTAGACTCTTACATACTTGCCTGCTACAGAATCTCTTCTCACATGAGTGAGTTTTCATCCTGTAAGCAATACCCTCCAACTCCTAGGATTAAAGTATAATTGAAGAACTGGTCTTTGGAATTGGCTTTGGACATGGGACAACAGGTGAAATGTGTACTCAGTACTATGGATATAGTCAAGCCTGTAACACTTGATTTTACTGTACATTTTGATTTAGTAGGTTGGTGTTTGATAATTGTCTTCACCTATGAGTGTAGAGACTTTTAAAGTTTCTTCTGTTGTCATTCACTTCATGTTATTCATGTTCGGTGTAATAGGAAATGACACTATTTCTGTCCTAACAGCATGAGCTAACAACAGCTGATGCATTCCAGATTAGACCAAAACATAGTGGAAAGACAGTTTTTTTGATCTGCCTATCCCTTCAGCATTTTTATTGACACACTTTTTATTTATGTGTAATCTGTAGCTATGCAAACAAATATATTTAAACAACTGAAAATCTAGGAAGTTTACCATTGCATATCATTCCATTCTTCATTCGAAGGAGAATATCCTATAATTCAAGGAAGTCAGGAGATCTGAGTGGTATTCCTGGTCTTACAACAGATTTCTTTACACTTGCTACAATTACTTTTCCCATTTGCACTTATGTTAGTAGCACATGTATATTCCAGAACTGCGTGAGGCGCATCTGATATATGTAGAGGACTTTGAGATCTTTAGACATTATTAGGATTTATTGTGTGAAATGTTTTTCTTGGAGAAATACAGTTTTAGAAGACATTTAAGATTTATTATATAGCTGGTGTTACTGTTTTATTGATTCTGTGCTTTTTTGTTGTTATTATCTTAAGGTGTATAAGAAAGCCATCGAAAATCTTTTGCTCACACCAGCCAAATCTCATTATATGTTCATCCTGCGTGACTTTTCACATGTTATCCATGGATGCTTGCTTGTAAAGAGGAAATCAATTGAAAGCAAACACGTAATGATTCGTCTGTTCGTACATGAGGTATTTTGTGTCTTCTGTGACTGTCTAGTGGAAGACAATGACAGAGCCTGGTTGTTCAATTTAATGAAAGATATTGTGAAAGAACATTTTGAAGAAGCATTTGATTTGGTTTTTGCACACCTGAAGCAAGGAAAAACACATGTGAGTATCGCATTTAACCTGTTGAAAAACAATTGCTTCCATTATAAATTTACAACTAGAAAGTTTCTCAATCGCAGGTGAAATTTTGGATCAAATGTGCTTGAAAATTTGAGTTGAATTCAGCAAAATGGCTTCTTTGGGGGAAAAAAAAAAGAATAAAAAAGTTGGAAGGGTTTAACTCTTGTATGTAAACATCCTTTTAAAAAAAATTTCATTTAAAATGTGGGTAAACTTATTACTTTTCTATAAAAGAATTTTGTGTATCTGACAGTGAAACAAAAACCTTCTTAGTTAAAAAATAGTGCAACATTTTTTCAGATTTACAAAAAAACCTCCTGGGTATTTATATCTTATGAAATTTAATTTATCAAGCATAGTGTTTTATTAAGCTTCTGGATGTCTGCATGTAGAAATAAGGCATCCAATTAATCAGTAGGTCAGCAGAGCAACTTTTCAAAAAAATTCTGTCACGTCTTTTCTTGGAGATGTAGCAGCATGTGCTCTTTGGGCAATGGGAGATAAGGTAACAGAAACAATCAGGTTTATAAATCACTACCACAAAAGTAGCTTGGGTCTGCAGATAGTACTGTGCCTGAAAGGAGAAATAAAAGTATGAATACTCTTAAATGGTCTTCCAGAGACCTGATTTACAGGATAAAGAAACATTTGCTTTTTAAGTTTAGCCTGTGACTGAGTTACTGTGTGGTGAACAGCATTCTTTAATTGTTATGGAATTTTAGTATTTAAACTGTTATATAATCATGCTATACTCTATGCCTTGTATTCCGTTTTTCTGTTTTTCTCTTTTTCTTCCCCTGTCATTTCATTGATGAAGAATAGAAGAAATAGTTTTGTGGTTTTAGTAATTCATTTCATAATGCATTGAAAATTGCTAAAAATTCATCTGTATAAATTTGGTGTCATCTGAAGGTCACAATCATGAGACTGTTAACAGCTGTTTGACCCAATTGTGTTCCAAGAACAAATTAAGAATAAGTATATTGGTTAATACAGGAAATAGAATTTTGAGGTGGATGTTGTCTGTGAGTTGAAATCTTTGAGTGCTTGTTCTTGTGTCTTGAGTATTTCTCTAAATTCTCCCTTGTTTTCTGAAATTCCAATGAGGGATATAGTCATTAAATATTAAATTTGACTTCATAATTTGTTGACTATTTACATGGGTAACAGAAGAAAACATGAGAAGTTTGGTTTTTGGTGACTACATGATTCCAGAACTTGAGGGAGATGAAAGACTTTATGCTGAAATTCCAAGCATTCAGCTATTCAGTGATGTTGTGGAGCAGTGGCTGGATGAATATAATCAAACCCACAAAACAAGAATGAGCCTTGTAGTTTTCAGGTGCATACAATCTGTATTATTAAGAGCTTCAAGCAGTAGTTGATAATGCAGTATATCCAATTTTGCGGGCTGTGTTTTTTTGTATGTCTCATTCCCTCTATGCATCCACAAAAGTCTTTGTGGTGTTACACCATTTTGGATGGAAGTGGACTGATTTTTCTCTTATGCCCCTGCTTTTTCTATCTGAAAGTAAATAATGAGAAATTTTTCTCCTAAGGGGCTCTGAATATATTCTCTGGTTGTTAAAGAAACTGTGCACCAAATCAAATGGGTGCTCTACTTCTGCTAGGTCTCTGTTACCCGTGACAATGGATGTTCAGGATGGTTCCAATGAAGATGGTTCAGGATGACCATAAGCCAGCAATGTGCACTCATGGCCAAGAAGGCCAATGGCATCTTGGGGTGTATTAGAAGGGGTGTGGTCAGTAGGTCAAGAGAGGTTCTCCTTCCCCTCTACTCTGCCATGGTGAGACCGCATCTGGAATATTGGATCCAGTTCTGGGCCCCCCAGTTCAAGAAGGACAGGGAAGTGCTTGAAAGAGTCCAGCGCAGAGCCACAAAGATGATTAAGGGGGTGGAACATCTCCCTTATGACGAAAGGCTGAGGGAGCTGGGTCTCTCTAGCTTGGAGAAGAGGAGACTGGGGGGTGGCTGCATGAGTGTTTATAAATATGTAAAGGGTGAGTGTCAGGAGGATGGAGCCGGGCTCTTCTCGGTGATGGATAATGACAGGACAAGGGGCAACGGGTGCAAGCTGGAGCATAGGAGGTTCCACATTAACATAAGGAAAAACTTTTTCACTGTGAGGGTGACAGAGCACTGGAACAGGCTGCCCAGAGAGGTGGTGGAGTCTCCTTGTCTGGAGACATTCAAAACCCGCCTGGACGTGTTCCTATGTGGCCTACTCTAGGTGGTCCTGCTCTGGCAGAGGGGTTGGACTAGATCTTTCGAGGTCCCTTCCAACCCCTAACACTCTGTGATTCTTTGATGTCAGTTTTACCTGCAGCCATTGAACTTTTGTTTCCCCAAGGACAAAGATTCTAAGGTTGTGAGGTTCAGAGTGAGAGATAGCGTAATCATAGCCCTCTGTCTGCTGTTATTATGCAGCATAACCATGCCCCACTTCAGGGCATGTACCCAGCCTGGTGCTGCAGCTAATTCTGTGAAAGTTTAGACTCCCCAGGCTGCCATTGTTACCTTAACTTGCGATCAGGCACAGCTACCCACTGAGACAGATTAGGAGGTCACAACTCCTTCCTCCTCCTTATTGCTAGGGATTACTGCCTCTTCATATTTGTCAGCTGTAACTTGAACGTAGCTGCTTCACGAAGGAGATCCGGGTTAGTTTTAAACACTTCTAATAGCAGTTTATTTCAGTCTAGGTAATTTTGACAAGCTGGATTTGTGAGTACCTGTATATACAACTATGCTGGGAATTTGAACAGCTGGAAGCCTCTGATCAGAGGCTGCTTCCTGAGCGTAGAAGCAATACCCCAGTTACCTCACTGAGCAGCAGCTAGGAGGGCATGTCTGACTGTAGAGTAGCCTTAGAGTTCAATCTCGTGGATAACATCTGGATTTGACTCCTTTATTTTTTCTAACAAATCAAAATAAACAATTTATCTTCTTTGACAAGCTTTAGCCTTTTATGAGACCACTTTTAACTGCTGCTCAGCTCACTTTAACTACCCCGTGCCCTAAAGTTAAACAGGCCATCTCCTGTAGACCTTGCTGCATGTTCCAAGATAAACTATGCCCGTGTTTTCACAATATATAGGAGTCGCAGTAATGTGCAGATACTGCTTTCTGAAAGCATTGTTCCAATATCTATTTCATATCTAAGTTATAAAACACTGTCAGAGGCAGAGGGAAGGAAGAGGTTTGTTGATGAAACCCATTTTCCCCCATTTGTTCCTTTAAAAAGCATTTAAACTGTTATACTTCAAGAAAGTTAAAACTGATAATACTGTTATAATTTAGAAGTAGGGAATATTTGTTGGTTTTCTTTTTCTTTGACACCTTTATCCCTATAGTGCTCCTGTTCTCACCGCTGCCCATTCCTTTCCATAATTTATAGTCATTTGTAATTTAGCTAAATACTGATATTTGCATAATAGAAGAATTGAGTTTTATTTTATTTTGTGGTGCAAACCCACTCCCTTTCTTCCTCTTCCCCCACCCTGTCCTGCTTTCAGAAAATTGTTTTGGAGTGCTTGTTTCACAGATCTATAAGTTCACAAATGTATGTGTATTTCTGCCATTCTGGTAGTCAACACATTTCCAGTACAGGTATGTGTTGGAACATTTGTCTCCTATAAGCTGTATCCTGAAGCAGCCAGGAAGTAATGCTTTGTTGGTTGGAATGGGAGGAAGTGGACGTCATTCTTTGACTTGTCTAGCAGCATTCATGGCAAAAATGTGTGTTTTTCAGCCAGAGATTTCTAAGACTTATGGTGCAAATGAGTGGAGAGAAGATCTGAAGGTGTTAATAGCCTGTCTGCATTTTGACTTAATTTTAAGGAAAGATGTTTTGGAATGTATGATATTTTATTTGTCTTGCATTTTTAGAATCTTCTGAGGAATGCAGGTGTAAAAGGCTTGAAAACAGTATTTGTAATCACAGATATGCAAATTAAAGAAGAAGGCTTTCTAGAAGGTATTGACAGTGTCCTCAACACTGGGGAGGTACCCAATCTTTTTGCATCAGATGAGAAACAAGAAATTATAGAGGTATCTTCAGAAATTCTCTTTAATGTCACCTCCCTTTTAAGCTATTTTTTCAGTTCAGTGTGAAGTGTAGCTTTTGGATGTATGCACTGAATTCTGTGACTCTCTTGAGACCTTAGATACATGAACCAGTTACTAGTAAACTTATGGAGTATCTTATGCCTGAGCTGGCATTCTGTTCACGAACACATGAAGTTGTGCCTGTAGGGAAGTTCGATTGTTCACAAATACCCTGTGTTTTTTTTTTTTTTGCAGTGTGTTGTGCAGAAGAAGAGTGTACACCATAGTGTTTTCATTGATCAGTTAAGGACAAAGACATTTTTTAAGAGAACACCGCTTGCCTTTGTCAATAGACTCTCACCGTCTAGGGCACTAGGGCATTTGTAGACAGAATTTCATAGTCTTGACTTTTCTACTCAGAGATGTTGGGGAAGGGTGCTCCGTGAATTCAGACTCAGAAGTAAAGATGCAATGTACTTGGGCAATTTTCTAAAAGTTTCTAACTAAAATCAGGCTTGGGTTTTCAAAATAGCAGTCACCTGTTAGGAGGGAGGGGCATCGATCTTTGCATACACCAAGTTGAAAAATTAATGTTAGCTAACAATATTTGGAACTGTATGCTGTGCTGTCTTCATACCTCTGTGGTGTGTTTACTAATAAATTACCTAGGTAAACTTCTAGTTGACATTCTAAGTGGTTCTTAGTACATGCACAAATGTTCTTTATTGAAATAGCTATATCACATGATAAGTGTGGCTGTATTGTTTTTTCCTGCGCTTAAATTATGCAGCATGTTGATACTTGCATTCCATGTATTTTGCAAACAAGTTAGATTATAATCCTAATCATCTTTCTCTATTACTGTTTCATTCTTGCCAGGTATATAGTAACAATATTAAGATAATGTGGCTTTTTTACAATTTTACAGTTGTACGAACATATTCAATTGGTGTATGCTAGAACTTGGTAGCTATCCATAGCCAGCTGGAGCAAAGTTGTTCGTTTGGTTTTTTTGCTCATTTAAATCTGCTTCATCAAAATATTTCCACTTTTACCCTATTGCTACTAAACTAATTTTTGTCATTTATTATAATTGCAGGATTATGTAAAGTATACGTGCTTTTGTGGAAGAATAATTTGAGGTTTAGGGGTTTATAATCAGTTTATAATAATGGATTGTTAATTAATTGAGGATAATAATATGTTTATGAAGTAGTCTTTAGTTTCAAGCCTAGAGATTTCGTCTTGTTTTGAGAGATCATTGGTTTTGGTAAATAAACAGATGGAATATGTTTTGGTGTTTGAAACTTAAATCTTCCTCTCCAATAATAAAGGTAAATACAGCATATTTTAGTATAATAATAAAGCTAAAAAAAGTTCATAGTAAGTTAATGTCTTGAAATGTTTAGGGGGCTTATATGGTGCTTAAAGCATAGATGATGAGGAAAACATTTGCTTTTGTGAGAGTGGCTTTTGTGTAATAAGAGCAGTAATTTGCCTCATTTGTTTGTATCTGCTAAATCTTTGAGTGACTGAAGATTGATTGTAATTAAGCCTGATAGTTATATTTTTCATTAGAACTAGAATTAGAACTAATTATGAATTTTGATTTCTTGCAGAATGTGTCTTAAACCTCTTTCTCATCTTAATGTGTCATATCCATCTGGAACTCATCCTGGGATGGATTTTTAGTGCTTGTTCTGATGTATTCTCAGCAAGCAGATGATCACTTCTAGAATGAGTTATTAGGGTCACAGATAAATATTGTAATCCTGTTCTCAAGCAGTATTTACTACTTGTTGTTTTTCTAGTTTATTCTACCTGTTTCATTTGTCAATAAAAATTTATTTCATGGTGATGCTATCAACAGGATTGCCATCGGGCTTCAAAAGTACTTAATGAGAAATTATACAACAGTTTTTACCCTATGTATTATTCCTGTGCAATAGTTAAGGCTGGCAAAAAACATGAAGAACTCAGTCCCCTGGACTTGTTTGCATTTGTTGTGAACTGCTGCAAAGAAAATCTCCATATTGTGGTAGCATTCAGCCCAATTGGAGATGCTTTCCGGAATCGTCTGAGGCAGTTTCCCTCACTCATCAACTGCTGTACCATTGGTTGGTTCCAGGTATGTGAAAATGTTTATGTTGTTCCCTCAACGAATTAGTTCAGTGTTCTAATAATCTATATTTTCATGTTCCATTAGATTTTTCTCTTGTCTTTTGTATAGAAGTAGTCCATGTTTTTCAAAATTTGAAAATAGCATAGGCATTTTTTGTAGTACTTTTGGGAGCTCCTTGGTGTGCAGTCTCAGTATTTCTACGACTAAACAAACTTAAATTTTGTTGTTACAAACTTTACGTTTCTGAAGTAGTGAATACCCTCAGTTTGGTGATGGTAATTTGTTGTTTTATCACATTACATGAATGTTTTGTAGGACTAGAGAAACCATTTCGATCTGATTGTAAAATTATGATAATTGCTGCTGCCTGTTAAGGAAATCATTCATCATGGGAATAACTAGCAAATACAAGTCCGCTTGTTTATCAATAGATCTTTTGTAGCAGAATAAAACTTGGAAAATTACTGTAGTTAAGGATCCTTGGTGTAATTGGTGTTAATCTCAATAAAGTGCAGTTAGGTCTATATCTTGGCCTGGTGCTGACGTCAATTAATTTTCCTGCCAAAGGATGACATAGACACAGAAATGTTTGGGTAGAATGGCAATATGTAGCATTTAATTATCAGTCAGGAGTTGACAGAAAAGATTGCATGGGTAGTGACCTTGCTGCCTGATATAACCCTTATATCTGTTCATTGTTCTTGAGACAAATTTGGGACTAACATGTCTCATTCTGGTGTTTTGAATGGTAAAAATTGTTTTTAAACTATGAAGACTGCTAACAGCTGAATTTTAGGAATGCTTCTTGCTTCACTTCTCACTCAGCTGTGGCCTGAAGAAGCTCTTGAACGTGTGGCTAATAAGTTCTTAGAAATACTTCAGCTCACAGACAGCGAGCGCCAGGAAGTTGTGCCCATCTGTAAATACTTCCATACTTCAGTTTTGTCACTCTCCGTAAGGTCAGTCTGTTTCTTTTGAAAAAAACTCATTAATTTATGGAAATATTAAGAGGGAAAAGATTATACCATTGAAAGTAATAAACTGAGCAACAGAGAACTCAAAAGTTGAATTTTTGAAGTGAGAGACAACGTAGTAGGTGATTGAGTTTCGTTGCTACTCATTTCTGTCTTAAAAGTTAATGTATAATATCTGCTTGCATAAAAAGATTATATAAAATTATCAATTGTTTGCTCCTATTGTTTGTCAAACAGTTACATAACTTTGCTAACAATAGTCAAACTAAAAAAAGAAGACAAATCTTAAAGGTTCTCTTTTTTTTTTTTAACAGGTTCTTTCAAAGTCTGGGACGCCACAATTATGTTACTCCTACTTCTTATCTTGAGCTTATTGCTGCATTTCGGAAACTTCTTACTCAGAAACGAGACACTGTAATGAAAGCCAAGAAGAAATATGTGAATGGACTAGATAAACTAGCTTTTGCTGAATCACAAGTGAGTTAGCACAAAAATGGAACTGAAAATCCAAAATGTTTGGCAAAAGCAGGTCTTTTCCTGGAGAAGTCAGTCAAAAGCATTACTTCAGATTTTTTTTTTAGCTCGATCTTCAACAGTAAAACTGTAAGAAATGTAGTTTGCCTTTCCTACAATCATAGCAGTTGTGCTAGAGGCCACAGACCTCTAAGCATGTATTGCTAAGCAGTATATGAACGCAGCTTCCCTTTCCTAAATGGTTAACAGGTGACTATGAGTGAATGTAGTTCTTAAAATCAGGGTTTGTACATATGAGATAAAAATAAGTCTCTGAAGTGTTTAGATTTGAAACTGAATATTATTTCTTTCTGTCAATAAGTTAGTCATTAGGTAAAATCTAGGTCTTACAGAAATTGTTGGAAATTGTACGTGGCACTTCTGAATCCTACCTGATCCTTTTGCACATGTATAGGTTGGTGAGATGAAACAAGAACTAGTTCAGCTGCAGCCCAAACTGGAAGAGGCTAAATTGGATAATGCAAACATGATGAAGGTAGAGTTATGCAAATACAACTTTGTGGTTTTTAATGTAAGCATGTGTATACTCGGGATCCATAATTTCACCTTTGTAATAATTAACTTTGAATGAGGGATGTTAATTGCACAGTGTACCTCTGCTTCAGTGTCTCAGCTGATTATAGACAGGTTCTAAAGACTATACCTGTATACAGTTGCTGATATGTGATTTTCAGACAACAAAAGCTGAGGTTCAGGTTTTTGAGCTCACTTCTTGTTTACAGTGGTTGCAGTATTGTGAAACTAGCCACCATGCTTATATCCTTAGAACTGGAAGAAAACTGTGTTCTTTATGCAAGATACAGACTCTGGATTTACAGTTCTTGCCTAAGCTCGACGCTGAAGGATGTTAGAGGAACTTTCATATTAATAGTGATTAGACTGGATTTCCCAAGATCGTTCACAAACATTGCAAAAAACCACAAATAATTCTTCAGATACAAAATAAACAAGAACAGTTGTGCAGTCTCTATTTGTATGCACAGAGCTCATATGATTGAGTCTTTAAAAGGATCCTAAAAAGGATTAACTTCATAGAAATTTAGCAGGATGTAGGAACCAGTCCCTTAGGTGTTTTTGAAAATTCTGACTTGCAAAAATATGCTTATCTAGTATGTTACTGTTGCATCACAAAAAAGCAAGACTTGACTTGATTTTTATGCACTTGCTTCTGCAAGTGTTTTTACAGATATAGTGATATCTCTTCTACCTACTCTTTACAAACCTCTAAGAAAACTTGTGTAGAACTGAAAAGGGAGTACTTGGATGAAGGCTTGACTCATCACTGAGGAGAGACTATGAAGCTGTGAAAACTCACTGTAAAAACTAGTAATTTTTTAATTACAGCCTGAAGCACAAAGAGTTTCTCATCTCCTGAACTTCAAACAAATTTTAAATATCTTTTATTGACAGTAATCTGATTTCATGCAGTTTACCTACTGTTAAAACTCCGTGATGATGTTGCGTTATACTAAGAAACAAATTATTCCCTTAACACACATTGAAAATAGATGAAAATATTGAAATATTTCAATTTTCTCTTTATAGTTTACAGTATTCCATAAGTGCTATAGTAGGTAATTTCAGTTTATTTTATCATTCACTGCTCAATAGGAAGCTTACTCATGTGTTTTTCTTTAGACTATAGATATAGAATCTGCAGAAGTAAAACAAAAAAGAGAAACTGTAAAAGCAGGTGAAGAAGTTGCTACAGAAAAAGCTGAAGAAGCTCAGACATTGAAAAGTGAATGTGAGAGTGACCTGGCAGAGGCAATCCCAGCCCTGGAGGCTGCACTTGATGCTCTTGATACTTTGAAGGCAAGCTGATCTCAACTTCAGCATTTGAAAGAGTTATTTAACATGATACAACTCTTCCATTTATTTGGGAACGAATGCACTAAGATGAAAAGAATTTGAGAAGTGTTAAATTTCCTCCATTTTGGCAAAGGAGAGGATCTGTGCGGTCATTGATTCCTCTTTCAGTTAAGTTAATGTTGACCACCAGTGTATAAAATGGCATTTGTTTATGGCTAAGAATTATCTGGATCTTTGACTTAAAGGTTTTGTCCTTGTCATGACTTCCACATGATCTGAAAGCGGTATTGTTGAGAAAGTGCGCAGGAATTTAGCATAGTAGGAGTTATGAAGTCTATGAGATGTCTTAGATGACACTTATGGAAGTGTATCAAAAAATAGTCTGACCTGGACCTTTTAAGACATAAATTTAATCAGTAGTTTACAGTTACTAGCATTTATGTCTTTTTATTTCTGCTGCATAGGATACCTTGATGGATATTGTTAATTGTCTTGCTAACACTGTATCATCCCTTTTGAAAGTCTGCTAAAATTATGTTCATTGGTAGTGGTGTTATAATTCCCCTTTTTGTTCTGTTAGTTCGTTTATCTTAGTACTGAGAAAAGTGTAATATGTCATAATTTTTTTAATTGTGATTTTTATTTTAGCCTTCTGATATATCAATTGTTAAATCATTGAAAAATCCTCCATTTGGTGTCAAACTTGTCATGGCTGCTGTCTGTGTCATGAAAGACAAAAAACCTGAAAAAATTGCAGATCCTTCAGGGACTGGAGGCAAGGTAAAATGGCAGACAATAGTTTCAAATAAAATGTAATTCATGTTCTTCTCAACACAGAGCACCTGTTCAATAAACACAATCACCCAAGGTCCATTAAGTTAGGCAATTACTTAGAGCCTTCATCCATTATTTTACTGAAAACTTCTAGAATTCCAGATTTTCTAAGATTTGTAACATGCAAAGAGAACACGTTTGATTTGCTTGACTCGTATGTAAGTAATAGATAATACGTAACTCTTCCTTGAAACACTACTCAGTTTTTTGCTTTAGGTATGGTTTGGGGGAAATGTTTGATCTGATTGACTTTCTCCTTTATTGATGTCTCAAGGAGATACAAGGTTGTCAGTATTAAATATGCATGAGTTTTAATTAAAAGAGATTTTTCTTTTTTTGTGTGTCTTTGTTTTAAAACTCGAAAAAATATTTCCTACTGTGTTTTGTAGATTTTGGATTACTGGGCTCCAAGCAAGAAACTGCTTTTCTTAAAGGATTTGAAAGAGTATGACAAGGACAATATTCCAGTAAGGCTTCTGTCTAATTTTTCAGTGATTTTTACCATGTAGACACTTTCTTGCAGGGGGAAACAATAAAATTAGAAAATACTGTATCAAAGGCCCCATTTGTCCCAAGTTAGTCAACTTCTATTATGACCAAGGATCTTTACAAGATAATAGGGTATCTCTATAGGATGACTATGGTCGTAGCAAGTGAGTCAAACTTCCTCAGGGTGAGCCTTCCAAGTGGCATTTTGGAAGGTTTTAGAATACCCTTTGAGAATTTCCAAGGCTTCGATACAGCCTGTCTTCTGTTTGAATGAAATGTCCTTCTGTGCACAAATGTTTCTAACTTCACAATTTATAGGTAGTATCTTATCGAAAGGTAAAAAATAACACATCAAAAAACTGCATTAGAATAAATAGTCTGTTCTGTCCATTATCCTGTGTCCAGAAATGGCCAAAAGCAGGTGCCTTGGAAGGAGTAGGAACAGTATATATGATGATTTCTCCAAATATTCTTCCAGCCTCTGGCACTTTAAATGAAGGATTACAAAGCTAGATGTAGTTTCTGTGTGTTTAGTAGCTTTCAGTGGACCTCTCTTCTATAATTCCTCTAGTCCCCTTAAGCCCATGTAAACTTTCTGTATCTACAAGATCTTTTTACAGAGTATTCCAGAAGTCTGCTCTAAGTGGTGTGAAGAGCTATCCCCTTCTGTTTCTTCTGAACCTGGGTCCTTTTAGCCTCATTTCATGTATTCTGTTTTGCCTTTTTTTGTGGAACCAGGGAACATTTGATCACTGTCCAACCTTTCTATGCCTTTTTTTATATACGTTTTTCTAAATCAGTTACTCTGGCATTATAAACTATTTTTTCTGTTTTTAAATAACTGCCCAACTTGGTGCTCTTCTTAATGGCTGTTCATAATTGTGTTATTTTGATTTCATGAATGCTGATAAAATGGGTAATGTTTTGTTAAGTATACTAGACTATATACAATAAATACAGAAATGCACTAGCTATGTAACTTTATTTAATTTTGACCATCTCCCCCAAAGATCTTACTATCTGCAAGTGTGGTTCTTACTGTTTGCCCAATTCAGTGGAAACTGAATATGCTTTGCCCCATTATAAAACTGGTCCACAAAAGCAGGCACAAGCAATGCAATTCATTTAGATTTTATGTTTAGATTTGTAGAAATACGTTTTTATAATGACCACCAAGAGCTGTAGCTTGAGAAAAGACTGCAAATAATGAAATTAGCATATTTTGCACAAGGGACAGTGTGAATTAAAGCTTCTACGTGACTGCAATGCTCTTAACACTTAGGTGGCTGCCTCATGGAAGACATACCAAATGCATGATTATAAAGGATAAAGGATAGGATTAGGATGAAAACAGGAAAAGACCAAAAAGCATGATAGGAAAATCGAAAGAAACAAATGGGCAGTGGTTTCTACTACAATTAAAACCAAGTAGTTCTTTCCTATTTCGTTGTGCAGAGAAACAGCAATCAATCAGTGTAATTTTAAAGCATCAGCTGCAAGACTTTGATGAGCTGTAATGCTTTTGTTATCCAGGCAGCTGTCATGCAGAATATTCAGGCTGAATACTTGACTAATCCTGAGTTTGAGCCACAAAAAGTGGCTAAAGCTTCCTCGGCAGCAGAGGGTTTATGTAAATGGATTATGGCAATGGAAGTGCATGACAGGGTTGCAAAGGTGCGTCTTTCACCCTTGTTCCTCAATGCTATGAAATCTTTCCTTTGCTTGGTGTATTCACCCAAAGCATTGTATTAAATTATAAAGTTACAAAAACGTGCTTTAAGCATTTGTGGATTGGTTGTAATTGAATAGGTGGTTGCACCCAAGAAAGATCGTCTGAGAGAGGCACAGCAGTCCTTGGCAGAGACACTGACGCTCTTGAATCACAAGAGGGAAGAACTTGCAGCAGTTGAAAATCATTTGGCTGCTTTGGAACGAACCTTCACTGAGAAAACTGAAGAAAGAGCACATTTAGAATTCCAGGTTGACCTGTGCGCTAAAAAACTAGAACGAGCAGAGAAGTTGATTGGTGGCCTTGGTGGAGAGAAATCAAGGTCAGGTTAAAGTTCAAACATCAGATATAACAGCCACTGTAGAACTAGAATTCGAACATTGCTTCTCTGAGCTTTAATGCTGTATCTGTGTCTGAGGGCTGTACTGCTTGAGAGTGTCTGGGCCCTTGAAAGATTCCTAATTGCTTGTAATGTAAAAATATGAGCAGCAACATTGGGAGAATTGCAGATAAAGTCTTCAAAATGAGAATAAAATATATAAACTCAGTGTCCTTATTCTCCACCTGAAGTTAAAATAAAAAATAACAAAAAAAGTTGATTTTTTTTATTATCAATATCATTAATGCAGAGGTTTCAGCACTGTTTTTTTTTTTTCTGCATCTTCTGCTTGTCATAGGTGGAATAATGCTGCAAATGATCTTCAAGACACATATGATAATTTGACAGGAGATGTTCTGATATCAGCTGGTGTGATAGCATATCTGGGAGCTTTTACTGCTGGATTTCGGCAAGAATGTACCAAAGACTGGAGCAAACTGTGCAAGGTTAGAAGGTTATCTTAGATTTAAATAAGTGCTTGCTTTTTTCAGACTACTGCAAAATCCCTTGTCATTTCTTTAATATTAGCCTAGTAAAACTCATTAAGATCAATGTGATAAATTCTGCTGGTCCAATATTCTGTAAATTTGAATTTAATTAAGTTAGTGAATTTACTTTACACTTGGAAGTAGCATACCAGAAACGAGCACTTCATTGGCTTTGTAAGGCTTGATTATTACTTAAATAAGATCTCAGATTTTTCTCTATTTTGCCTTTAAATGAAAGAATTAACTTTGCAGTTCTGTATAATGTAAAAAAAATTCTATAATAACTTAAACTGGCACATATTTATATGTTAACTAAATGGTTGATTATGCTGTTTGCAAAGGGACAGTTGCAACATACTTATACTAACACCATAATCCATAAATCAAGTGATTTGAAGTCACTGATTGTGACTGTGGCATTAAAGAGTAGCAAATCATTATTGGATTACTGTATTGAGTTAATGGAAGATGTAGTCATTAGATGATTTCCAACTGTGTGTGTTTCTTAAGGTAACGCATTGTCATAATTTTATGTAACAAACCCCCCTACATTTAGAATGTACAAAGAGCTGGAAAAAATCATGCAAAATTTGCAGAGAGAATAAATATTCAGTGGTGAAATATAGGTAGCTGTTGAAACCATGGTTTTATTTTTCCCAGGATTTTTACTTAACTTGAACTATTTCAAACTCTTAAAAGGAAATGCATGTTATCACTTTGGATTGAAGTGTCATTTAATGAAAGTTGTAAAGAAACATGGAATAAAGCTAAACAGGGTTTTCTTTGTTGTTGTTGTTGTTGTTTTTTTTTCCCCTCCCAGGAGAGAAATATCCCTTGTTCTGAGAATTTCTCTTTGAGTAAGACTCTTGGTGACCCAATAAAAATAAGAGCCTGGAATATTGCTGGTTTGCCAACTGACATATTTTCTGTAGACAATGGGGTAATTGTTGACAATTCAAGATGTTGGTAGGTGACAAAAAGTTTTAATTTTCAAATCCAAACAAGTTTTCACTTTTTTAAAAAAAGAAAACTAAATATCTAGAAACAACGTAGCTTCTGTAGAGACAATGCAATTGAAAGCTGGAGTAGAATCCTTATATCCAGCTCCTGTGAAATTTAAGAGGTATAACACTTCAGAGGTTTGTATATGTAGTTACTTGAAAACTTTCCTTTAAGGAGATGCAGTGCTCTCGGATAATTTTTTTTTTTTTTTTTTTAAATACTGTACTTCGTTGTCCTATTACTGGCTAATAAAGCATTTGTGGGAATCAGTTTTAAAACTGCAGAGAAATCTGTATTCTTTACATGTTTAATGGTAAGATTCAGGTTATATAAATTGCAGGGTCCAGATAGCACAGTCCACTTCAGATTCTTACGGTTATAAGGCTATCAGATGCCATTTTCCTGTTTTATGGATATTTATTGTGTGTGAAACGTGCATCTATATAAAGGGTTCTTTTAGGACCTTTAACAACTTTTATTTTTTTTATTCCAACTGAAATTTTATTTCATATCTATGATATTATATGAAAACCTGTGGTAGCTGCCTGCAAATAACCTGCACTTAGTAGAAGCATAAGATTATAGAACTTTCTAGCAATGTTCCTGTTATCTGTGTTCTCTCAAGAATTAGTCTTTGTGGTAAATTCAGACTACATTCAAATGACAGTGTGTAATACCATTTTTAGAATGTTGCTTAGTTCTCTAAGGGTGCAATTAGAGGAGGTGTTTGATATCGTTCATGCCTGACATTAAAATATGTACACATCGATGAAATCAGCAAATGCAAAGTGGGACAAATCTGTTGAAAAAAATTAAAATATTGTCACCTTTCCCTGCCTCGCTTACATTTCCAGTCTTATACTAGCTGATATACTAGCATTTCAGATTTAAATTGCAACTAATTTTTGGTTTTGGGCTTTTTTCCAGTGAAAAAATATATAAGAGAGAACTCAAAATAAATAAATTCTAAATACTGAGAATTCCAGGGGAGAGGCAGAACAAGATTTTATAGGAATTCTGCTTTCTGTTGTATTTTATGAAAAATGTTATGCACACTTTTTGCGACTCTTAAAATTATTTTTGATATTACTTTTCAAATTATTATGAAACACCTATAAATCCATTTTTCTCTGATCTCTTAAAATAACAGAAAGAAAATTTCCTTGACAGCCTGACACAGAAACATTTTAAAATAATTTAAATTTTTGAAAAACTCCTTCAGGCACTGAGAAAACTGTCTTGTATGTTCTAGGCCATTAATGATTGATCCTCAAGGTCAAGCAAATAAATGGATAAAGAATTTGAGAAAGAAAACTGCCTGAATATTATCAAGGTTAGTGATACAGATTATATGAGAACTGTGGAGAACTGCATTCAGTTTGGAACTCCATTTCTGCTAGAAAATGTTGGAGAAGAACTAGACCCATCACGTGAACCTCTGCTACTTAAACAGACTTTTAAACAAGGTACAGTAAAACTAATTTTGAACCTTGAAGTAGATTACATTAACGTTCATCTTATAGACTATGGTACTGATGTTTTCCTTATTACTCTCTGGTGTACTGCTGCCTGTGGTAAGAGGAAGGTAATTCACAACAGCCTAAAATTTTATTGATTTTTTAATAAATATCTTTCATAGATCACATGGTAGTGGTTTTATGTGAAAACCTTCACCATGTCCCTAAAAGAGACTAAAGACGCTTGATTCTGTAAAGGGAAGATTGTTAATGAAATTGTTTTGCTTGTTCATTTTCATGTGCCATCCCAGCAACTTCTAGGCTTTTGTCTTTTTGGTTTTCATTTTCTATCTTCTTTCTCTTTTATCCTTTGACGTACATCATGAGATCTCAGTTTCAGTCTTTCCTCTTCCACTGGCTTTTTAGTTTAATCTTCCTAGTTTTTTTGTGATTTTTGTGTGAATACATTGTGAAAGGAAAGACAAATTGAAAATTACATGATCACAACCATAATGTGCAAACTTACTTAATTATAATGTGTACAAGTCTGTATATGGACCACTCTTCTTGGGCCAATTTGTAAGGCTACTGTATTCCCACAACCCAGTATTTCCTATAAAGACTTTTAAAATGCAGAATAGTTGAACTTTTTAAAAACAAACAAGCAGATATGTACCATGTATCTCTTGAAATCCTTACTGTAGTCTTTATCAGTCATACAGTTTTTAAACTATGTAGAATACTGAGATATGATCTCATTTGTTACTGCAGTAGAAGTATTACTACATGGCAGGGAAGTGTAATTAATTTTACACTCTTTACATTATGTAAAATTGTATCTGAATATAACTGAATATTATCCATCTTTTTTTTTAATATAGGGCTAAAAATGAAATAGAACATCAAGAGTTTATGTTCTTACTAACTGGGGGTGTGGGTCTCAAGAATAAGTGCAAGAATCCAGATCCATCTTGGCTACCAGGTAAGAGCTGGGATGAATTACGTCGTGCAAGTGAAATCCCAGCTTTGAAAGGACTGAGATACAGTAAAATGTTGATGTGAATTAGCCTTAATTGTTTTTGACCAAAGCATGTGTAACATGCTGAAAGGAATGTTTCCTAGATGTTTTCTAAACCAGTGCCAGAATGCCAACATGGTGAATCAAGCCTCTTTTTATATCCTTAGATTTGCTTCACTTAAATCAGTCAAACAGTCAGTTGGCTAATTATAATATTCTTTAATTAAACAATTTTTCTAAGTTATGTGAGGTGTTCTCCAAAGAAACATTTCTTTTGGAATGTCTCCATGGTAGACAAACAGTGTTCCAAGGGGGCCAATGGCGGCCAGAGGAAGCATATGTAGCAAAATTACACTGTAGTGCCGGAAGAGGAATTTTTCTGGTAAAATCTAATCTCCTGAAATCAAGAGAATTTCACCCTGAATTTAAATAGAATTTAACCCTAAATTCTGGAGCCAGCATGACTGCACAAGTCCTGCATATAAATAGCTGACAGAGCCTGAATATTTGGAGGATCAGGATCTGTCTGTGGAAACACTGCTCTGTTACAAGAAATTGTTTGGGGCTGTTTTTTGTTTCTCCCCTTTTTGGAGTTTTAGTAGCAATGTGGATGATGATCCAGCCTTTAAATGGACTCCCAAGTCTGAGAGTTGTCCTGTTGCAGAGGATGTACTCTGTATGTTGTGTGAGGAAAAAAAAAAATTTCCCCTGGTTGAATTTCCCGGTAATTTTCTTCAGTTAGAGTGGAGTTTTCCTGAACTGTGACAGGCAGAAAATTCACCCCTACCTATGAAGGTCCAAGCAGTTCTGGCTGGAGGAATAGGCAGAACTTATTGTCAACTTGGAACCTTTCAGGTGGAGCCTTGCGTATCTGCAACAGCATGGTGGGAAAAGATTTTTCACTCTTCAGCATGGAGAAGCTCAACTGTAGGATTATTTGCCAGTGTGGATGTGGAGTGGTTTGTGTGACAATACAATCTGAGTGGCTTTTGATAACATCAAAACCAGACTCCAGATATTTACAGTAATTGTAAGTGCTTTTTTTCTCTAGGAGTCACACCTCTGAAAGTATAAGGGAATGGCAAAAAATTTATAACAGCAAAGAGCCACAAAACTTTCCATTACCAGAACAATTGAATGATACGTTAAATGAATTACAGAAGATTATAATTCTTCGGTGCTTAAGACCAGACAAGGTAAGATGATCTGTTACCAACTGTTTGTAGACTGTTCCACATCTTGTAGCAGAGTTTGCACTGGTTGTTAAAATAACCAATCTGTTCTTCATCATATTTTATTAGGAAAATAAAGGCAGTTCTTATTTTTTCAGTTGAGCAACACAAACACCACGAGCATCAGCTGAGATCTTTTGTCTGACATGATTTAATGCATCTTTCAGGCTGTGTTCATTATTCTAGTTTTCTTCAAGTGCTTGTTCATGCTTAGTCTGTTGATTCACCAGCAAGTGTACTTGAGTATCTAGTACCTCATCTATGTGCTTTCATACAAAGGATTTCAAGGCAAAGAGAGATCAAATGTGTTGATTTGAACAGTTAAGGTGAACTTTTAATACATTCTGCGTTTGGTGCACTTAACAAATTGTATTGTATGTGCTTTAGGAATAATCAGTGTTAGGATTTAAACTACATATTACAATTGCTGCTTAGAATTAATTAAAAATAATTATGTGAGTATTTACTAAGGGGGAATGTGCTAATCCTCCATATCAGGTAAAGCCTGAATTAAAGCCTTAATGGAATTTAATATTGTTTATAAGAGGTATGTTATTTTTTATTTTCTAAAAGCATTATTATTCCTCTTGTAAGGAGGAAAAAAAGGGGGGGATCAACAAGAGGTGAAACCTTTGCTGCAGAAGCATTCTACAAGACTACTCTCAGATCTGTGCAAATCAGAGGTGTCTGTAGACTCAGGATATTAGCTGATATATGGTACCTAAAAGATGCTGTCAAATACGCCGTTATGTTTAGTTTATGTTAATAGTTTGTATTTACTGTTTTTACCAGATTGCTCCAGCTATAACAACATTTGTAACTGATCAACTGGGGAATAAATTTGTAGAGCCACCACCTTTTGATCTAACAAAAAGTTACTTAGAATCAAATTCTACAGTCCCTTTAATATTTGTGCTATCTCCGGGAGCAGATCCCATGTCTAGTAAGTATACACAGAAAGAGAAAACAAAAGCATGGTACAGCTTTTCAGATTAGAGACCTGAAACAATGAGGATTATTTTGCACGTAGATTTGAGCGTATCATGTCACACTGTTAAAATTCCGTGCCCCCTAAAAATGGGGAATGGTATTTTAAACTAAATAAATTTTACACTCTACATCAAACTCTTCTTTTTAATGTAGAAGTGCTAAAATCCTATGCTTTCTGTTAAAGGCCTCCTGAAATTAGCACATGGCAGAGAGATGGTTGGAAACAAGTTTCAGTCCATCTCATTAGGACAAGGACAAGGACCTATAGCTACAAAAATGATTCAAAAAGCCATGGAAGAAGGAACCTGGGTTTGTTTACAAAATTGTTATTTAGCTATCTCCTGGATGCCAATGCTGGAGAAAATATGTGAAGAATTTAACAGTGAAAAATGTCACCCAGTCTTCAGACTTTGGCTTACTAGTTACCCTTCATCAAAGGTACATGCATTGACAAATATTCTGTATTTAGGGAAAGGAGAAATGGATGATGTTTTAAGGAAATACTCATATTCCTGAATAAGCTGATGATACAGAACTTCTCTGAAATTCCCTGGGGCTGTTGAAGAGATAATTCAGTCAAGAAAGGACATTAAAAAAAATAATTATAAATGGATTATTATGAAGCTTCCTTTTTAATATTTTGATATTGTGATGTGTTGTATTTTGTGTACTACTGAATAGAACTGCATTTTGCCAGCATATATAATTAAGAAGTTTTTACTGTTGCCATGGGTTTTTTTCCCACATAAATTCAAAATTTTAATTTTGCATTTTATTTATAAGATCTTGAATACCAAGAAAACATTTTAAAATATAGGTTTGTGGTTTGCAGCAAGGTGTTGGTTTCTTGATGCCTTTGAGAATTTTATTTTAAAGCTGTTGATGTTTAAAATGTAATTTCTTACAGGTAATTGTTTATACAACAAATGCAAAGTAATAATATATTGTTATAACAATACAGCATCTACTCCACACTTTCTGAATGCAGTTTTGCTTTTTTTTATTTCTAGTTTCCAGTAAGTATTTTGCAGAATGGAGTGAAGATGACAAATGAACCTCCTACTGGTCTCCGGTTAAACCTACTGCAGTCACTTCTATCTGATCCCATTTCTGATCCTGCATTTTTCTCTGGATGCCCTGGAAAGGAGCTGGTAATATGCCTATCTCTTTACAGTTTTTTTTTTTTTTTTTTTTTTTGTTTTTTTTTTTTTAATCCACAAATATACTGATTGCTGTACAGTGATTATTATAAAGTAAAATTTTTACAGTGATTGTGAGTTTAGGTTTTGCAATGATAACGATGATTAGTAGAGAATTACTCTGCCAGGTAGTTTCACATGGCAATATTTAAAATTTTTTTTTAGGTTCTATTAAATTATATACATATTACATTACAATGTACATAAACTCTGAACATTCATTAGTAGGACATATACCTATCATTAAGATAGTAAGCACTGAGAAGATCTTCTCTTGCTACCAGGGACCAGTACAGCAGTGCTTGTATGTCTAACTGATAAGTGATGAACCACTTTGATAATCATCACCTGTGAAAGAAGTGGAAAAAGCAATGGGTTTACTCAGAGATACGAGTATGGTAATCAATGCACATAGGTCTAAGTGGGTGCATCTTAAATTAAATGATACGTCTGTATATTATGTTTGTCTAATGAGCCTTAAAAATAAGTATCTCATGCTATTTGAATTCTTATGAAGTCAGCTGCCCTTTACATTGAAGAAGAGAAAAATCTTGAGTAATGGTACTTGAGGAACTAGCTAAATGTGCTTGTGTATGTGGCAGCGATGTGTGTATTTGTTCCCAAGTCAAATAACTGCAGCTCACTTCAGTTGCCTGTGTTTGTCCCCTAGATGGGGAGTGGTGATTGAATGGTGTGTTCTCTATACAAGTTACAGACTAGCATGAGCACATAGGCTAGTTAAAAATATTTTTTGTTTTGTTTTTCTTAAAGGTATGGGAGAAACTGCTCTTTGGAGTTTGTTTCTTCCATGCTCTTGTTCAGGAGAGAAGAAAGTTTGGGCCTCTTGGTTGGAATATACCCTATGGATTTAATGAATCAGACTTGCGGATCAGTATCAGACAGCTGCAGGTCAAATGATCAGTTGCTACCATTAACTCTTAGCTTGTGAAACATAGCTGATAGGCAAAAGGGCAATACACCTAAGTTGCATCAAATGCTCATAGATTTTCATTACTTCAGCTACAAAGGCAAGGAATGTCAATCTATTATAAATATTTTCAAAATTACAAATGAAATAAAATTAAATATTTTTCTTCATAAGATTTTGATTCATACAGATGTATGGAATAAAATGAGTATATATATGAGTATAGTAAGAGTTAAAATTGTCATGTGTAAGAGCTTCTTCTGCTTTAAGTAACACCATGTTAGTGACAGTCACCTCTTGCGTGTTTTGTGGCTAGGAGGAGGAATTTTTTTTTTATATACATAATACTGTTACGTAAACAGAGCCTCAGACTATTCTCCTTCCCTAAAATGAAATGCTGAGCACTGTTTGGCCTTGAGTTGCCTGCAGGCCCTGTGTAGAAGTCAGGAGAGCTAAAACTGAATTACAGAAGTTGAGGCTGAACAGTTGGAAAAGTTATCAAGAACTTAGTGAAGGAGATCAGAGAGTTCTGAGGATTGAAAGAAGAATTATGTGAAATGCACATTTCTCTATGACACAGAAAACTGTCCATCTAGGCAGCTTACCCTTGTAAATAATTCAAGAATGACTTGGATAATTTAATAATTTGAATATTCGTAAGAGGCTTTTACTACTAACCCCTCTTTGTTTTAAACAATAATTTTCACCTGAAAAAAGATTTCAGAATTTGAATTTCCACACTTAGGGAGAAAACTCCATAAATCTACAGTTTTGCATGTATTATAGCTTCCAGCCCTTTAGTCTGTAGGTCGTACTGTTGTTCTGTAGATATTTCAAGTCTCTAGTATTACTCATGTCTTCTGTTTCACTTATTCATAAATGAATATAGCCATGTTCCTTTTGAGGCTGTATCTTACCTAACTGGTGAGTGCAACTATGGAGGTCGAGTGACAGACGACTGGGACAGACGTTTACTGCTGACAATGCTGGATGACTGCTATAATCCAGATATAATTGAAAATCCTCATTACGCTTTTTCTCCCAGTGGCAAGTATTACGCTCCACCAAAAGGCACATATGAGGACTACATTGAGTTTATTAAGGTAAAAAGTAGCAACAAGATTTTGAACCCTTATAATGATGATGCGCTAAGAAAGCGATCCTTAAAGTCTTCTCTGCATTAAAAAGGTAGTTTTGTAGCCCATTAAACTCTGTGCTTGGCGTCTTGCCTAACATCCTTGTATGATCCTTGCCATGATCTAGAATGTTTCTGAGAGGGAGAGGGAATCAGTAAGGACATAGGAGGACCAAGCATAGATAATCAAGAATTCCTTGGAAATGGCTCTCTGTAAGTGAGGTGATGGCTCTATCGGCAGTAATACTGCCTGGAAATACCTACCATTAAGGTCCTTATCCACCTTCAACTAAAGTTAGTGGTAGTTTTTCACTTGGCTTGAAGAAGTCTTGGATCTGATTCCTAGCATGCTGCTTCATCTTATGCAGATGTTTATTGTTTGTTTTGTCCTAGAGTCTTCCCTTTAGTCAGCAACCAGAGGTATTTGGTTTGCATGAAAATGTGGATATTTCAAAAGATCTTCAGCAAACTAAGATCCTCTTTGAATCTCTGCTTTTAACACAAGGAGGAGGCACTTGGGGAACTTCTGGAGGTGGTGACAGCACTCTCTATGAAATTGCAGATGATATTCTCAGCAAGGTAAAAGCACAAATTCTTTAGCTACAATCTTCAGTATCAAATTGATTTTGTGTTGAAGGGAAAACCTCCTGGGAGGAATTTAGTGCAATGTGAAAGTAAGAGCTTTTGTGGCTGTAACAGACCACAGCTGCATTTTGGTTGAAAGAAGTTTTATTAAATAGGTAGGAGACAGAGAGAGAAAAAAGAGCAAACACAACTTGGAAGAACAGGTGATTCATTCATGAGAACAAGTTTAAAATTAGTAAAATTGATATGTATTCATAACTTTTTATGGTATGAAAAATTCTAGATGGTTTCTAAAAGAACCCTAATTTTTATTTGGATTAAACTACTAAATACCGTATTGATAAGATACTCATCAGAAAGTTTAATGTTATCTATTACTATAGCAGCAATAGATTTTTCTGATCTTTCTGAAAAAAAACTAAATTCAAATCTGCATATCTTTAATGTAATATTGATGCATAATGATACATGGAATGATTTCCAAATATGTTCTCATTTACAGCTTCCAAATGATTTTGACATTGAAGCTTGCCTGAATAGATATCCTGTGAGATATGAAGAAAGTATGAACACTGTGTTGGTGCAAGAAATGGAAAGATTTAACGAGTAAAAGTGTTATACTTTATTAAATGGAACTGAAATAATTCCATTTGCAGAAAAAGTTTTCCTGTGAATCATACACTGTAAACCCTATGTTGCATGAAATACTTTATTTATTTATTTTATTCCCTTCTAATGGCTGCAGTGATAACCGTGGTCCAAGCACCAACAGTCCTTCTGGCAAGTCAGAAGGTAGGCTAGAAGTCAGGAAAAATGACTGAAAAATGAACTGAAAGAGAAAAATACAAGATGAAAGAAGGGAGTCTGAGGAGGCACTTAAAAAAGAGAATGTGAACAATATTTTTATGTTCCTTTTTTTTTTTAACTTTTCTTTTTCACCGTCTTTATCTTTCATTTTATTTTATTTTCTACATGTTTCTGGCCTGTAGGCTAAAGAAATTGTAATAGACAGTTATTGTTTATGAAACCTTTTCCTTGATGGTTGGAAATATTTCTGCTTATTTCTTTATTGTCTCATTTGCTTCTGTTTTAATTTTTTCCTTTTTTCCCTTTCCTGATGCCTTTCTTCTTATACCTTATTTTCATGATTTTTCTCCTAGGTTTACAAACCTATAATTACTTTCTTTTTTCTCTTTGTCTTCCCAGTTTCTCTTTCGACTTTGTTTCCTAATTTTCTTTCTTATCTTTGCCTTTCTTCCCTGTTCTTCTCTGTCCTCCTCCTTTTCTATTTGTCTCTTCACATCTCCCACTTCATTTTCTCCCAGACTTTGATTAATGCTTTCTAGCCTCCAGTCTCCAAGTTTTCCTTCGTTGCAGACCCTACCCACTGCTTCGTTTGTAATATAAACCTTTCTCGTTCATCTGGTATGCAGCGTATACATTTGGAGTTCCAAATTTATCCTCTTACCAAACAATACGGAGTATATCAGAGATTATGAAGTAATTTATTAAACTGTTCCTAGTCTTAAATAAATTGACACAAATGCATAAATCCTTGACTTTACAGATGTGGCTAATTATGCAGTTATATAGCACCTATACAAGTTCTATAGATGGTTCCATAACCCAGTTATTTTCTTTTTTCCCAGTGACGATGTTCTGTTTTACAAATCATGCAAAAGGTGTGAAAATTTTGTTTTATTTTTTAATCCTAGTTTAATCCGAACTATTCGTATTATGCTAATTAATGTGAAGAAAGCCGTTAAAGGACTGGTTGTTATGGATGCTGAACTGGAGGCTCTGTGTGGCAGTCTACTTATTGGAAAAGTTCCTGAAAATTGGGCAAAACATTCATACCCAAGTATAGAACTATTAGGGAGCTACATTCTAGATTTGCTAGAAAGGCTGAAATTTTTACAGGTAACGTACAAGAGGCAGTACTACCAATTATTTAATTTACTTTTTCATATAATTTGTGCTTTACATTGAAGGAGTATTGGGAGAGGGGTGATTGGCTTAGAGTTTCTGAGTACAGTTATGTAGCATATGGGATTTGTCTCTTTCTGGTTATTGAATGTGTCATTTTCCTCTTTCCAGGATTGGTATGAATTAGGGAAGCCCATGGGTTTTTGGCTGTCAGGATTCTATTTTACTCAAGCTTTCTTAACTGGAGCTGTGCAAAACTATGCTAGGAAGCACGGGATCCCTATTGACCTTCTGGGATATGAATTTCAGGTAGAGATAAGTTATAGATAAATATTTTTATTAATCCGAGTCCTGATGTTGCGGTGAGACATAGTAAGTAAATCCTGACTGGAAGGCTCATTTTGCAACTAACTCGCTGCAATTTGAAGACACACATTTAATTGTTTGGTGAGGTAGGCATGTTAAATAAGATCTGTAAAAGAGGTATATTAAAAGTAGTTCTATCATAGGATCTGGACCTCCACTGAATTTGTCTGTGTGATTAAAGCCTTATTTTAAAACCTACAATAAAGGTAATTAACAAGTCCCCAGAAATCCTCTGTCTTTATAGTTTTGTATAAAAGTAGTACTGAAAGGAAGGTATTACTATAGTATTCTCATTTTGTGTTGATCTTCTGAAAATGGTCTATTGGCATAATACCTCGAAAAGCAAACAGCTATGCAAGTTTAATAACATGGGACACTTATTTCTTGTAGGTTATTCCTCAGGATACTACTGATACTGCACCAGAAGATGGTGTTTATGTCCATGGGTTATTTTTAGACAGAGCTCGCTGGGACAGGACCAAGTCAGTAACAAAGTGTTTTACTATGGTTGTGGAAAGCTTTCTTAGGTGCTTAAATGAGATTTGTTTCAATATTTTAAATTATACTTTTCATTTTATTGAAATAACATGCCAAATGAAATACTCTTTCATGGATGGAAAAGGGTGAAGAAAAAAACAACCACCAAGCAAGCAACAACCAAAAAACACATATCAAAACCCTCCTTGGTTTCACACCAAGCCACAAATAACAACTTTCTTGCTTTCTCTTGCCAGAGGGATGTTAGCTGAGCAATACCCCAAATTGCTCTTTGATATGATGCCAATCATTTGGATAAAGCCACGTGAGTATAATTTATCTGAAATGCCAGCTATTCAGTAAGAAATTGCAACACTAAATTCCTTTTTTACAGATCAATGCTCCTGCCTTCACCAAAGTTACCCAAATGTGCGCAGAATTCATGTGATCTGACCTCTGCCTTTTACACTAAAAATTGGACCTGCTAGCTTACTTGGTCTCATCTGAGCAATAAGCCTGTCCCTCTCCCCACAGAGGTTTATAATTATGGGTTAGACAAAAGGACTAGTTAAATTAGTTCTTTATAAATATGTTTATCTGTATGCCCAACCTATTTTTCAACCAAAAGTTGATTTGGGTAGGAAAGCACATGGTGCTTGAATTCCTGGCTCTACTCAAGTTGAGGAGAACTTTTAGTTGTCCTACAGAGACTCAGTGTTTTACCTCACGTGATTTAGCAAAGTTTGCTCAGGTTATTTTTAGCAGCACGCTAGTTGTCTGTCATACTAGTAAGGTATTTTCCATAACTCCTGTTTTCTTCGATCAGGT